GGATGGTCTCAATCCATAGGAAATGGATGGAATGGCTATGTCAAGAGGGACCATAACATACATTAACATACTATAAGTGGTTGGTGGTTTGGACTTTTTTTTATTTTCCATAATATATGGGAATAGTGATCTCAACTGACTTTCATATTTTTCAGAGGGGTTGAAACCACCAACCAGACTATAATGACCTCACCTCGTGATGTGCCTGGAATGATGGGAAATGGAAAAAGGGGAATCACCCCCATACATAGCTGCCCGTATGAGAACAGCTATTTTCAGGGTTTGCTTGAATTTTTGCAATTCAGCCAGATACAATAGGATATCATGGAACATGTCATATAACATGTCATATAACATATATACGGAATATCAATGGGGACATATATGACCAACACTATCCAATTTGGGCCTGTCTGAAAATGCGGGATGCCCTATTTTCAGGTCTCTTCATTTCTGATGTGTTGCATGCCCCTGGAAATCCTGCACGGAAAGGCTTTTCTGAAGCTCCCCGAGCAAAGGTTCTCTGTCAAAAAAGATCGTCAGCCAACCCATGAGAACTTCAGCAGTTACCCCGGGGAATGCTGTAGGGGTAGTAGGGGTCAGATGATTCTTTGCTTGGCCCTGAAATGGGATGCGAAATGAATGGTTTGACGATGTTGCGATGTTTGACTGCAACAAAACGACACTTTTGTGGAGGTTTCCTAAAATAGGGGTACCCCTAAATCATTTTATCGAAGGAAGTTTAGAAGTCAAACTTCCGACAAGATGGACAGATGAAAAGCAGAGATGGGAAGAGTCAGAGAGAAGAGAAGAGTAGAAGAGAAGAGTAGAAGAGAGAAGATCAGAGAAGAGAAAGAGTCAGAAGAAAGAAAATGAAGGTGCGCGAAAAGGTAGGAAAGTCGCGAGACACTGTGTTTTTCTAATGATTTGTGGCTCCGGAGGGTCGAAAAGTAGGCTCGCTAAAGCGGGGGGTGCTGAGCCATCTGGCCAGATGAGAGATGAACATTTGCACGCCATTGTGGCGCAAAGCAAATTTCCAAGTCAAAATGTACAAAGCACCACATGTTCGGATCACTTCTGGAAGTTGAGATGTCGAAAAAGCGCACGCCGTTGTGGCGCGAAGCACATTTCGAAGTCAAAATGTACAAAGCACACCAGCTTCGGAATACTTTTGGAAGTTGCGATGTCGAAAAATTGCACGCAGTTGTGGCGCGAAGCACATGTCGAAGTAAAAACGCAGAAAGCACACCAACGTCGGAGCACTTTTGGAAGATGAGATGTTGAAAAAGTGCACGCCGTTGTGGCGCGAAGCACATTTCGAAGTATATAAGCATGTACAAAACACCATATGTTCGCGCCACTTTTGGAGGTTCAGATGTGTTTTCGCATGGCAGGCCCAAGGGATTGTGCACCTTGTCAAAAGTGAGCAAAATGTGAAGGGTTTTGTAGCAGTTTCAAAACTTTGGCAGGCGTGGGACATTTGAAGAGGATCTGCAATGATGCATTTCGCGTGGCCGGCACAGTACAAGAGACATGTTCATCAGAGATGTCAGGAAGTCAGGGCGCTGATTTCCTCAGAAGGGTTCCATTTTGGAGCCTCAGATCTTCAGGTTTGCTGAGATGATTTTGCGTGACAGGTGCAGCACTTCGTATGACCTGGCATCACTTTTTTCGTGGTAGGCGCAGTAGTTTAGACAGATGGACTGGAAAAATCGCAAAACACATTGGTACGAGGCCGTCAGCTCTGCACGCAACTTTCCATTTTTGAAGGACGTCTTGCAGAATTCTTTCGTTTTTGATGTTGTCAGCTTCGAAAAATGAGGAATTCTCGCAGAATTGCTTGGTTTTTGACGTTGTCAAGTTGAAATATTGAGGAAGTCTCGCAGAATTGCTTCGTTTTTGACGTTGTCAAGTTGAAATATTGAGGAAGTCTCGCAGAATTGCTTCGTTTTTGATGTTGTCAACTTTGAAAAATGACGAAGTCTCGCAGAACTGCTTCGTTTTTGACGTTGTCAAGTTCAAACATTGAGGAAGTCTCGCAGAATTGCTGCGTTTTTGATGTTGTCAAGTTCAGAACCTGAGGAAGTCTCGCGGAACAGCTTCGTTTTGAAGCTTGCAGATAGACAGGTACATAGATAGATAGACAGACAGGCAGACAGACAGAGAGACAGAGAGACAGAGAGAGAGAGAGAGAGGTAGATAGGTAGATAGGTAGATAGGTAGATAGGTAGATAGGTAGATAGGTAGATAGGTAGATAGGTAGATAGATAGATACATAGTTTGATAGACAGATGAGATAGATAGATAGCTAGATAGCTAGATAGCTAGATAGATAGATAGATAGGTAGATAGGTAGATAGGTAGATAGGTAGATAGGTAGATAGGTAGATAGGTAGATAGGTAGATAGATAGATAGATAGATAGCTAGATAGCTAGATAGCTAGATAGCTAGATAGCTAGATAGATGGATAGATGGATGCTAGATAGCTAGATAGATAGATAGATAGGTAGATAGGTAGATAGGTAGATAGGTAGATAGGTAGATAGGTAGATAGGTAGATAGGTAGATAGATAGATAGATAGATAGCTAGATAGCTAGATAGCTAGATAGCTAGATAGCTAGATAGATGGATAGATGGATGGATGGATAGACAGCTAGATAGATAGATAGATAGATAGATGGATAGATAGATAGGTAGATAATCAGAGAAAGAGAGAAAAAGAGAGAAAAAGAGAGAAAAAGAGAGGAAACATCAATCACCTTTCGATCCATCAGCGGCTTGGCTCTGCCATCCGTGATTCACAACAGCCAATCTCTCCTATAGGTTTCCTGTTTTTGAAACTTCCGCCACCGCCTTGTGCGGTACTACTGGTGGGATTTTCCATTATTAACCATCCATTTTTGGGTGTCTCCTTTTATGGAAAACTCCATATACCAACATCTCAGGAACGGTGTCGGGTCAATCCCATTGACACAGCTTCCAGCCTTCCAACCGCATCAGATTCGTGCGCTGCTCGACGGTGCGAAGTTGGCTGGCTGCGACGCCTGTATTTTTTCTGCCTTCGGTTGTGGTGCTTTCGGAAATCCACCGGAGGAGATCAATGAGAAAATGATGCCAGGGGAGGGCGGCAGGGTGCTTGGACGAATGAATCCGTTTGAGCGGCTGGGTAAATTAGAACGACCCGACTGCGACCTCACTGGAATGTTGGTTAGTAAGGGGATGTAAGGGCAATTTTCTCAATATAGCCTTATTTCAGGTTAGAGCCAGTGAACTACTATAATTTACCAGATATGCAAGTACAATGGACTTCCCCAGAAACCCTGAGTGTTGCATCTATTCATTTGATTTCATTTTGGGTGCCATTATGATGGACTTTCATCAGAGATTTCAAGATTGCTGGCGGGAGCTGCCCCTGTGCAACGGGGACGATAGGAGGTGGCACATCTCTTCAGGGAGGAATTGCTGAAAGGAGGTTTGAAGCAGGCAGAGATCGCCAGTCGCAGCTGTTGAGCCCAGGATTGGTGAATGGGAGTTATATGGATTTGTCATAGGGCCTAAGGGGAACCCCCTATCATCATTCCCATTTCCGATGGCCATCTCTGGGGTATACAATATTAATCAATATTATACAATTACAAAAAAACCATTGATACACCCAGAATCGGAAAGAGTCTGGAAAGAACTCTCTTGGATTGCACGGTGATCCACATTCTCCACGTTTCTCTCCTTCATTGTATCGCTACTCACAGGTCAGCTTTTGCATTTTCAACGATCACAACGCCGGCCGACGTCACAATCCTAGAGGCGTCTCGGCACTGGGTTCTTTGCTTTTAAGAGTGCTGGACAATGCGACCATGTTTATATATTAGTATGTGTGTATATATATATAAGTGGTTTATCAATAGCCCCAATCAAGGTGATTTCTTTTTTGAATTGGCACGTATTTCACCCTGCCACTCTATAGATTTCATAGAAATGATGAAACACACACATATATATATATATAAATAAATATAAATATACATATAAATATAAATATAAATATAAATATAAATAAGTACAGAACCCTAGCTCGGTGAGGTGATCTATTTTGATCACCGGTGATCCACCAAGTTTTAGGACCTGATTTCCTGGCACCGAGGAAACTTCACCCCCTTTTGGGAGACCTTTCGTGACCTGATGGACTGTGACAGATTGCCTTGAACGCCTGGTGATGGCTGGAGATATCTGGCAGAAACGTGAACTATGACTGATCATCATCAGATTTCCTGGCCGAGTTCAAAAACAGTGGTATTATTGTACTTAAATCATCTTAAATCATATGTGAGATGATAGAAATACATGGTTCAGCTATAGCCCTATGTAATTACCATCTGGTTATGACTAACAGACATTGCCATGGAAAGATCCACCCGTTTTTAAGTTCGGTAAACCATCTATTTCTATGGGCTCAGCATCATCGATCTGCCGTAGGATCTCCCAGGCGCCGAAATCGGACAGAGCGAAACGGGGCCGTGACAAAACGGGGCGCGTTTGTGGTGTGTGGTGCAAGTGGAGAAAGAAATCGGAACCGGAAACTGATGGACATTGGATGGAAAATGGATGGAAATTGGATGGAAAATAGATGGACATTGGATGGAAAATGGATGGAGATTGATTGAACATTGATGGAACTTTGATGGAAAATTGATGGACATTGGATGGAAAATTGATAGTGGAAGGACATTGGACCAGGACAGCAGTCCGGCACGGTCGAAGCTTGCGAACTCACAGGACTCCACGAATAGTGTCCAGCTCGGTCTGAGCTTGTTACCGGCGGACCGCGAATGTTGAGCTACTTCAGAGCAGATGTGTGGATATTAGCCTTAGCCTACATGACGCCGACTTTCATCCAATTCCAGTTACAGCCAATTTCCGATTCCGAAAGTGGATATAAGTCAAATTGTAGCATCTTTCAGTGGGCTGTTTCACTAGTTTCACCAACCAGACCTTGCGTCGATGCGATGGGCACTCCTGGCATTGATGGGGAAGTGCCTGGCGGAAGGCGATCTCCGGTTGATATGGACATATATGGACCTTCGCTGAGGACCATTTTTGTTTCTCGTTCCATTAAGTTAATATATTATTATTCATATGTTCACATATATTAATTTATATATTCCTTTTATTCATCCGTTAATGAATATGTTCTTTTTTTTATTCTTCCGTTCCGTTAATTAATATGTTAATAATTAATGTTAATATGAAGATGGATCAAAACCAATGATATTTATACTCCATGATACCAGAGAAAAAAACTACAGGATAGACATCTGTGATAACTTCCAGCCTTTGCAGGTGCTCGATATTGCAATGCAGGAGAAAAGGCGAGGTCGGATGAGAGACCCGGTCTAACGAACGCTGCTTGATGATTTTTTTGTGGAGAACTGGTTGATCATTACTCGGAGAATCATCAACCAGCTGATTTGGCTAGTAAACCACTTTTACTAGCCCATTTACCAACCACTACTTTTAATCATCCGGATGGCTAGTAAAAGTGGTTGGTAAATGGGCTTCGCAGCCTTGGTTAGCCGCTGATTTAAGAATGGGATCACAGCTACGTAAGGAGGACGGTGTCTCGTAACCAGACGTAACCAGGGGACGGCTGGTCCCCCACTCAATTACTTGGATGATCCTCCAAGTATTGGGCTTAATATCCACGAATTTCTTGGGGATATTGGGGATTACCCAACCTGGTTATGACAAACATAGCTATGGAAAATGGATGAACATGGCCCATAGAAATAGATGATTTTCCCAGCTATAAACCTCCATTTATAAGGGATTTTCCAGCCAGCTATGTTAAATAACCAGATGGTATCACAATCCATTCGGGGGAATCCCTAAAAAACCAACCAGTATAATGGAATGACCAGGGTTTCTCAGGTGATGTAGTGGGGTCCAAGAATAAATGTCTGTCGCTCTTGAGCGGGGTAACAAGAATGGGACAAGTATGTCAAGTTGTCCCCAAGTTCGCAGTTTTGGGATTGATTTGACACAAAAACTATTGTCAGTCAATACTTAGACTTTTTACTTTCACTGCCGCAAAAACTCCCGACCCTTCTCCAATGGGTTCAAGTCCCTTACTTCCCACAAAGATTTATTCAATGATTTCAAATTAAATGCCCTGTTCCAGATATTGGCTTGTCTGAAATTGGATACTGTACCCTAAAATCTGCTCGATGATGATCATTTCTCTGTAATTTTTGGCTTAAGTTTTGGGGTATCCCATCCATTTTGGACAAAAACAAAAATAGAAACCAATATTTTTATGGTTCATTGCTTAACAATCCGTGTTTTCGATGGTTTTTTCACCATGTCATCCATCATTTTTGCCGTGCGAAATCGCCCGCGCTCTCGGTGACTCGGCGCAGGTCTGGCTGCGGCGCGACGACTTTGGGCTGTCGCCGCTGCGCGGCACGGTGCTTCGGCGCTGGCCGGGACAGGCGGAGGTGCTGCTGGAGGAGCCGGGTTTTGGATCAACAGATGGGTTGAAATATGGATGGTATATATAACCCATATATGGTTTATATGGGTTTATATGGGTTTATATGGGTTTATATGGGTTTATATGGGTTTATATGGGTTTAACCAGAATGTTTTGGGTCATAGAGTTGTGAATTTCCTGTATGTTTCCTCAGGGGACTTGAAAAAAATTGCCATGTTTGATGAAACCAGAAGGTATTGGTGAAACACCATAAGGCATCAATGGATGGTCCCATGACAGATGGGACATGGAAACTGATGGAAATAGCTAGCTTTGGAAAATGGACAGATCAAAACTTAGCCCTTTAACCATGATATATATATATATACTATGGTTTATAGGTGATATATCTATAGTAATTGTGAAAATCATGATTTTAAGGGGATGATGGGGATGAACATCCATATTCGGTGAACTCCGCGGATTCGCGCTGTTGTGAGGTGAACGGAAGGGCATCTGAGAAATGGGATGTAATCAACTTAAATGTGGACACTTACAACCAAACTTGCTGATAAGTAATGTTATAAACCATGATATAATGTTTATAAAATGTTGGTTTTGAAAATGATATAAACCAACATTACAAAACATTTTCAAACAATAACTCTCCACAAACTATGGGCCTATGGCGGCTTGATGGAACGACTGTCAGCATGGATGACTTGTCGCCTCCTGGACCGGGAGCGCTGATGATGTTTCATTTGCCCAATGGGAATTCCACCAGAAATGGGGAATCCATGGGAATCCATTATTGGATATTATTGGATTACATATATATATATATAATAGTATGTATATAGGATTATATAGGTATATACATATACAATATACAATATACACAGTATATAGACATGTAAGATTTGGGTTCCTAAAGCAACTCTGAGTTTGATAATTCAGAGTGATGACACGGTCTTTCTCAACGCCTATCTTCCAATTTCTCGATGCACCAGGAGAGCAACCTTCATGTGAGAGTTCCCATCAACAAGCTCAGGATCCGAGTGGTTTTACAAGCTTTGCGGGGCATGGGAACTCTTTTTTAACCAAGAAAATGAGACAGAAACACTACTAGATTGTGATGATGACAGCACTTTATGCACATTGGAGTTTCTGGAAGTGTTGTAAGAACCTCCCCTAGATGCTGAAGATGGGTGAACCAAGTCATATTTGTTACAGACAAATCCTCAAGATGTATCAAGATGTTGAGTAAATCCATGTAAATCCTCATGAATTTGGGCTTTTTTTAATGTCGAATCGCAGCAAAAAAATGCCGCGAAAAAAGGACTCGTTTTGGCCACTTCTGCGCCTGCGTCGCTTTATGCCTCTTTGGACGAGTGGGCAACCTGGAGGGGAAATTCGACGAGGCCAGGAGTCCATGATCCACGGCGAACTTCACGGCGAACTTCACGGCTAACCAATGGGAACCAATGGGAACCAATGATCACCAATCGAAGTTCCTGTTATTTTTCCCGATGTTTTTAAAGGGGTTTTAAATCAACACTATGGCTAGGGATTTATGTTTTTCGGGATTTCATTGGCTGGAAAATCATCGAGCTGGGAACTGCAACCAGCCATGATTAGCAAGTCGGATAGCCATGTTGATTAGTTGGTTGGGAGATTTACCATCGGCGTTTCACCGAGGATATCGTTTTCTTAGTTTTTTTGGGGGTTGCGTGAGGCGTGAGTCTGTTGGGACGGGCCGGTATTTTTGATGACGGTGATTTGTCGCGACTTGATGGGGATTTTTTTCTTCATTTTTTGTCGAGGAGGTTTTAAGCACCAGAAATACACATATACCCTCTCTGGTTATGACTAGCATAGCCATGGTATAGATGGCCCATAGAAATAGATGGTTTACCTATTAAACACAGTGATTTTCCATGGCTATGTTAAATAACCAGATGGTAACTGATAAATGATGGTTGGTTGATGACGTGCTTTTGAGTCATTCGCTGAGAAAATCTCGCAAGCCGAGAAGACACTTGAATCGTCCACGGCTTCCTGTTGTCTATGGCAGATTACATTATGTTATACCATCCTTTATTGGTGTTGTGCTCTTGGTAATATCTTTTTGTTGAGAAATACTTGGGTTTGTCCAAACACGGTCGATCTATACCCCCAATAGATGCATTTCTCTTAACGTGGAAAACGAGGTTTTAAACCATGAAAAAAATCAGGGGCTAATCAAATCATTGGCCTCAGGATGTTTCAGGGACATGTTCATCTGGTTGGTGGATTCAAACATTTTTTATTTTCCATAATATATGGGATAATCCTTCCCATTGACTTTCATATTTTTCAGAGGGGTTGAAACCACCAACCAGTCATACATTTTCGCATAGATTTTCCATGAAATTCCCATCTTGGATGGAAAAACCCATGGAAAAACCCATGGAAAAACCAAGATTTTCCACACCAGGCTGGCTCCAGCGAGGATGCGCTGGAGATCTCAGCGGCAAGTGTCTGGGAGCACGTGGACTCCTGGTTGCAGTTGGATCGAAATGGAATGGCTGGCGAGAAGCCAAGACTTACCCGGCCTGGTAAACGTTCACAAAAAACGATGGAAAATCACCATGCTATTAATGGGACAACTCACTATTTCTATGGCAATTTTCAATAGCGTTTACCAGAGACTTACTGGTGCGTTTTACGTAGGGTTGCTGAATGGGTTGCTGAGGGTTGCTGGGATGATCTGCTTGATAGTCTTCGGCCAGTGGATCAGCAACCCGAAAATTCCCTTGGTAAATTGGACGGTTAAGTCATGGAGATCCCGCAAATCTTCCAAGATTTTGGGTCCCATGACATCCAGTCGTGAAAGCAATGGTGACTTTCCGGGGGATAACCACAATGGCTTGGGATGGCCCAAATTTTGGGGATTTTATGAACGTCGCTGAAACGTCAGGACATCTGTTGGAGAGGTAGCGGCTTTTCGTCATCAAACGTGGCAGTTTTGTTTATCATCGAACTACATGGGGGAGAAGGGACCATAACAGAATTGAATGATGTTTCAGCCGGATAAGCCATGAATAATCAACAAACATGATTCTAATTTGCAGACAAACATGTGGAAAAAGCCGCAGAAAAATTGTGAAAAAGCCACAGAATGGTTTTTTTAGTAACTCACCAATTCACCGACAAATCTGTAATTCATAGCGAGCTTTGTCATCTTCCAAATGGGGGACTTAAAACTATGGGCTTTGTGTAACCGGCGAATGGCTTGTCCATCTTATCCCATCCCCCTGATATCCCCATGGTATGTATGGTCCCAGGGTCCCAGTCATGTGTGGTTCATAGAATTGGATGATGGGAAAATTTTAACCGGAAAGTCCGATCAATTTGATGGTAAAAACCCATGGCTTTCCGGTTCAGATTTTCCCAACAAAACCAATCCAGTGAGTGGTTTCATCCCCTACCTCCATGGTTTCGCAAGCCGGTTTCGCCACAGGTCAGAGCCAACTCAGATATGCGCTGGGACATTTTCGCCCATACTTGGGACGAAGACCTCCATGATGCGATGCTTGGCCGCTGGGTATCTGGGTATCATACTGAGACTGGGGGATATACCCAATGGATCCCAATGGCGATGGAAAACATGATGATACCAGTGATACACCATCAAGAATTCATTGGGCTAGTATTAATGGTACCATATATTTTCCAGGCTGCAAAGCCACGAGTGGAGCCATGGGCCGTTCAAAGATGTCTGTTTTCGAAGTCATGGGCCGTCCGAGGATTCAGCAAGCGTATAGGCCTGGGGGCGATGGGGCCGTGATTTTCGGAGGTTTTCACGAGTCCAACACTGTTAAGACTGAAGCCTCTGGCAAGCTGAAACAGACTGGCAAGCTGTTAAACGGGCAAACGATGAAAAATGATCTTCTTTGAGTCTGCAAATGTCTGCAAGCTTTGGGAGCAAATTGACAAAAAAAGTAACAGCAGTTGTTCCAATCACATCTCAACCCACAGCATTTTTTTGGGGCTTTCCCATGTATAGCATATCTATGCAAGGTGAGGTCACGCAGTTACAAGATGTGATTAGTTGGGTCAACTCATTAACGATAGTGATATCCCCATCAATTTCCAACAGTTAGTCAATTATGCCTCCAACCTAGAACTTATAGTCAACTATGCCTAGTCAACAATGACTAACAGTTAACACCGGTTACCCTCTGGTAAACTAACATAGCTATGGAAAATGGCCCATAGAAATAGATGGTTTTCCTGGTGAAAATGCTGATTTTCCATAGCTATGTTGGTTTACCAGAGGGTAACTATACTTGTTACTCACTCAGCTTCATCAAAATCTCCCCCCCTAAAATCGCCAAACAGCGAGGCCTCGGAAGCTGCACAGCGAGAGCAACGTCTCGTGGCTTCCGGTGGAGGGCTTCGGTGAAAGCCTGCGCCGCAGCAGTGAGCTGCGGAGAGAGGAGGAGCGGAGCGGCCTGGGATTTTTAACCGGGGATCAGGAAAATATGGAGCTGTCCAAGATGGAAAATGGATGGAAAATGGATGGAAAATGGATGAAAATGGATGGAAAATTGATGGAAAATGGATGAAAATGGATGGAACATGGATGGAAAATGGATGAAAATGGATGAAAATGGATGAAAATGGATGAAAATGGATGGAAAATGGATGAAAATGGATCATATCTCCATAGGAGAATAGCTCAATGGACTATAATTTGATGATTCTATAAAGAAATGATTTCCCTATTTAGGATTTCTATAGTTATGTTAGTTTGCCAGATGTTTCAAACATGGACGGGTTACCGATCATGTTAGTAAAGCAATGTCATGTTCACCACCCGCATCAAAATTGATGATTGAAATCCCTCCCATCTATGGTCTCCTCTGGGGATGGTGGATCCTATTGCTTTACTGACATCTATTCCAATGATTATCAGTGATCCAGTATTATTCAATGGGGTTGTAATACAGTTATTATCCACTTTCTATATATATATATAATTATATATATATATAGACTATAGAGGTTTTCTAAAGGGGGATCCCCAGGGAATCATGGTTGTTTGTCAATACTAAGTCATGGTTATCCACGACGACTGGATGCTTTGGGGTACATAACCTACAGGATTTTCACGGGAGCTCATGTGTATTCTGGATCGACTAGATTCCCAGATGAATATCAAGAAACATCAGGAGGCTAGGCTGGTGACCCATCAAAGGCTGGTTCAAAGGGTACCTTGAAATAGAACTTCCATCCGTGGATGCATTGCTGTCGCTTCGTTGGAGGAGATCCAGGGGGATTTTCGATACGATCTGGTGGTGGTCATGCGCTATGACATTCTTTTTAGGCGTCATCAGCCATGTGGACCCAAGTGGATACGGAGGTACTAAGGGGGACACCACTGAGATCTTGCTGCCGCTTTGATGAAAGGTGTTGGAACATGGTGGAACCATGATTCTCCATCTCTAAACAAACTACCCTCTGGTAATTTAACATAGCTATTGAAAATGGCCATTTATAGTGAGTTTTCCCATCAAAAATGGTGATTTTCCAAAGCTACGTTAAATTACCAGAGGGTAAACAAACACTTGTTGGATTCCGAACATTCCGCACTGAATTTTCCATGTGGCCGCAGGCGTCCATTGAAACTGGTCTTGGACAGCGATGTCAACACGCTTTGGAGCAGCCACTGGTGTTCCGTCCATGCGGAAGACTTCTCGGTCCGCGAAATCGTCATTTGCCCAGGGTCCGGGTTCGGGTTGGGTGAGTTTGGGTCCCATGATGAACATGGCGGCACTTGAAAATCCGTGAATCTCCGAGAATTTGTATCATGATATCATGCACATGGTTCATATATGTTCATATTCAAAGAACTATGATGGATTATGATGGATTATGATGGATTATGATGGATTATGATGGATTATGATGGATTATCCATGATTATCCAGGTTTATCCAGGTTGGTCATGGATAAATCATGGATATTTTCCCAAAACCCTGGGAAAAATCCGAACGATTTGTCTCTCAGCTTTCTCTCGAGGTTGTGGCGTCAGAGGAGGAATTGCTGCTGGAAGCTCCGGATCCACGATACCATGGCTCTGGAGTCTTTGCGCCGTCACAGTTTGCACCTGGAGGAGATCCATAGGAAAATCACCCGAGATTTTTCAGAAGGGAAAATTCATGGTTTAGCTGGCTGGAAAATCCCTATGAAAAATGGAGGTTTATAGCTGGGAAAATCATCTATTTCTATGGGCCATGGCTTCCATAGCGATGTTTGTTAAATAACCAGAGGGTACGATATGCCCATGTGGGATGATAGGATCATAGTGGGATATGATAGTGGGATACCTTATGGTACCTACCGAACGAACTGGAAAATCACCCTATTTTTCATGGGAAAATTCACTATTTCTATGGGCCATGGCTTCCATAGCAAACTGTTAGTTTACCAGGCGGGTACGAGCTTTGCCCATTGGTTGAAAGATGGAAATCATTCCATATAAAATTTAGCATTAATTCATTTTTGCTGATTCAAACAGTTTTCAGTTGGGTAGCCATGGTTTAATCCTGATCCCATTTTCAGACAACGCCATTTGAATGATTTTGGAGTTGTTTGGTGAGATCAAAACGTCGTTGTTGAGTCGAAGCTGGGGGCCCGAATGACCCAATATGATATCCTAATGGAACATAGTGGAACATGGATTGCTGGAAATTCACTAGTCACCCATTCAGTTCGATGATTATATGTTTATTTATATGTTATGTATCTGTATATATATATATATTAAAATATATATATATATATTAAAATATATATCGTATAATATATAATATATAATATATAATATATAATATATAATATATAATATATAATATAATATAATATATATTGTATAATATATAATATATATAATATATAATACACAATATATATATATATAATATTATACAATATATAATACAATATAATATATATAATACAATATATATATAATATTATATAATATAATATTATATAATATGATATATATATATATATTGTATTATATATTATATATTATATATTATATAATATATAATATATAACATATAATATATAACATATAATATAAAGAATATAATATATGATATATAATATATAATATATAATATAAATAATAATAATAATATATAATATATAATATATAAAAAATAATATATAATATATAATAATATATTTAATATAATATAATATAATATGATATAATATGATATAATATAATATAATATGATATACATAATATAATACAATATAATGTAATGTAATGTAATGTAATGTAATACGAGCTTTGCCCATTGGTTGAAAGATGGAAATCATTCCATATTATATATTATATAATGTATATATATATATATATAGATATATTATAGATGGTCATTGAGTTGAAGTTTCGGGGGTTTCCAGTTGCCATGTTGGAAGCCGTGGCTTCTCACCAGGACTCCATGACTTTTGGTTCGCAGCGGCTTCGGAGACCATGGACAGCTTCGCTCAGTGGGGCGCTGCCCGGCCCAGGTTCCTGGAGCGCTTCGGCATGCCATCGCAGGAGGTCCCTGCGCCTTGGAGAAAACTGGGAGGGTGGATGGAAAATGATTGAAAAATGATGGAAAATGCTGGAAAATGCTGGAAAATGATGGAAAATGCTGGAAAATCATGGAAAATGCTGGGATGGAAATAGATGAAATAGCCCTTTCTACTCCCCAAATGTGAGATTGATATGGATATTTATGGTATATTCCATTGGTTTTTGAGTCCCTGAGTGAACTTGGAAGCTACGGATTTTTCTCTCACGTCACCTGAGAAAATCTCGACAGATTCGGAGCTGCCCAGAAAGCCGAACGCCGAACGCCTCAGTTGGATGTGGGACACTTTCACAGCTACCTCCACGCCCTGGAGCTTGGCTTACAGCTGAGCTTCACAGGCGGGGATGATGGGTCAGGGAGTTGTCATATTTGAGGGACATAAGGGACATCTAGCATCCTCCCAAGAAAATCATGGGATCTAACGGGATTTTTTATGGGATATACTTGTAGTGATCTAAAAATCAATAAGATGTGTGTCTGTTCAGAAATATGGAGATTTACTATCCGCCACCTACCAGTTTCACCCTGAACACAGCATTTTGTTTAGAGAAGAGTAGTCTTCCAAAGCCCAAATAGCCCAACTCATGGCACTGTCTAGGGGTGGGATTATCGGGTGCCGTGATGCGACGTTTGAAAGGGGTTTTCCCACAAGGGGGACCTTGTGGACGTCAAACTTAAGCGTTGGAGAATGGAAATCCCATGTTTCATTCATACATTTCTTCCCATGCACGATGGAGATTGTCCCACAAAAATGCTGATATGGAGGTTTCCTATATCAAATCATCCAAAATTGGTTATTATCAATGGGAAAACTAATGGTTTAGAGAACCCATATTTTAGGAACCCCCCATATATCCAGGATTCCGCTTGCACGTCGCATTCGATTTTTGCATTTTTCTAACTGGAGGCATCAGCTATGTGGACTTCACGCTGGTTCGCTACAGAGGCTGTGAATTGGATGTTGGTGGCTTGTCAAAAAACAGTGGAACAATGTCCAGTTTTTGGGGTATGAATCGGTATGAACATCACCTGTTTTGTTCTGATTGTTTTTTTTTTGGTATGCACATCTAATAAATTTTTGTTTTTTTCTTTGGTTGGATGATCAGAATGCAAGTATGAAGATTCGTTGGGAGTTTTGCAAAGTTTGGTGGCTTGTTAGCATTTTTTGCCACCGATCACATACTCAATGAAGATGTTTAGGGTCGTTTCCACACTCACGGAAACCCGCATACGACTGATTGGAAATGGGCTCTCTTCAAATATCACCGGCAACGACGAATGGAAGAATGGAGACATGTGAGCAGTTTCAAGATGCTCAGGGATTTCTTGGTTGGGTTACCCGCTGGTAAACAAATAGCTTTGGAAAATCAACATGTTATTTTTTCGGTAAACCAACTATAAATTAGTCATTTTCCATAGCTTTATGTTACATTAATGTTACTGACTACCAGAGGGTATTAGTTGGGTTATACGGTTATACTTTGCCCAACGAAAAAAAATCAACCCATCCCATCCCATCGATATTTCACAGTCTCCAAGGCGAAGAGATTTCGTCTCCCGATTGGTTTTGCCTCTTTTGGGAAGTGAGCATCACCAGGTGGCGTTGGAAAGATTCGGGAGCGAGGATCCAGATTCATCCATATATATATATATACATATCCATCCATATTCATCCATATTCCCGAAATATTTCCCTATAACATCTATTATTAAAATGGGGAGCAGTTCGGAACTACCAAGAGTTTCCCGTTTGCACATGTTTGCACATGATACTTATCCCCATCAAAAAGGACGCCATTTGTGATGCAAGGCGCTGTGACTCCTGGCTGCCAACAATCAGCGGCTGGGCACATCACTTTTGTAGCTCAGCTGCACGCAACATTCATGTTCATCACTGGGTCGGTTGTCGGTTAAGTTTGCAGGATTTACATGAATTTTACATGGATTTACTCGCCAAGTAATGTGGTTTCATGTGGTTTCCATAACTATGAAGTTGCTTCTTCCCCTTGGTCCATCGATGTCCATCGGAAACCCTTAGATTGTGGGAAAGCCAATTGAGCAGCCGCCAAAACCTCCATGTGGAGATTTAAAGGGCTGTTAAAGTAAGATGGCTCCGCGAAAGGTAAAACCACGTTCGCCAAAGATTCGGGAAAGTTTTTGCGAAGATTTGCTTCCGCGAAAGCTCGCGAAAGAGACTTTCAAGGCTCAAAATCCATCAAAGTCCTGGTTTTAAGTTTTAAGTATATGTTGATAGACAGTGTCCTCAGATGTATCTGGATCCATACGGATATATTATTCACATTTCTATAGATGTGACCCAAAAATTATCATAGTCAGTAATGTATATAAATATATATATATATATGTATACACACGATTTCCACACGCATACATACCTACATATAGACACAGTATACACATACATACTGGGGTTGATCATTCTTTCCACATATTTTCACCATTAAACTTCTCATATTGGCAACAAATCTCATATAATGTCAACCCCGGATAAATAAACCATGGTTTATGAATTAGGGGGGTACTCCTCCAAGAGTCATAATCTAGTAATCTAGTACTTAAATGGTACCCTCCCAATTAAACAGCCCAGGGGTTTATTAATCCAGGGTCGAAATTATAGATGCTGAAAAGAATCCAACCCTTGCTTGGTGAATATACCAATGTCAATTGATTATGTTCCTTGTTGATCTCCCTAGCATGGTATTGATACCCCCAATAAATACAACGAGTTCAAAACAAATTATCAACCTTTTGCAAGAGCTCAAGATGTTCAAGCCCATTGAACCCCATTCAAATTGCCATATATGAGCAATAAATCCATATGACTCCATACATAATCAGATAATATCCATATAATATCCATATAATATCCATATATAGTATATTAAAAACATCATCAACATAAATTATAAGCCATTTCATCCGTCAATTTCCCACTGCCATCCTCCTGCCAGCGAGGTCCAATCGCAGGGCGTCGCGCATCTCTTAAGCCAGGTGGTTACGGCTGTGGCCGTTTCTGAGGCGCCGGGAAACGCGGTTGCTCTGTCGACCTGAGTGCTGGAAGGATGTTGAAAGGATATATGATGATTTACACACATATCTAGTCATATCATGTTTGATATGATGACATTATACTGTAATGATATGATATACATTAGCATACATGATTGTATGTGTGAATGGGGATATGAATGCATGTGTATTGTCGGTCAGGCGGGTAGTTCGGTCACTCAACTCAAGCTTATCTTAAGTGTGAATTCCATTTTATAAGATTACAGTAGCTGTCTTCAATGTTTCAAAGTCCCTGCAAATTCGGCTTGGTAACACAACTTGGCTGTTTGTCGATAACGTCGATGACATTCCAAGGGTAGAATCTGTGTGGTTTAGACACCAGAAGTGAGGCTGAATGATTTTTTTAATGATTCTGTACAGCAAGGAGATGGCAAGTTGAACCTTTCAGCTATTTTCAGCCCTTCAAGTTCGCCATGTCTTTCCATCAACTCCGTTGCCAGGACGAAGGGCGGAACGATGGCCCGTTGGCCTCGCAAGATGAGCCGATGGATCGGAATGCCCCAGGATGAGGCCCAACATGGGGCACTATCAACTCACCCAAACGAGATAAGCAAAAAACGAGCAAATTTATACGCGATTTTTTGATCTGTTCATACGTGACTGTAGGTTTTCCCTGCACAAAACCTATGCCAAACCTAGGGGCCTCCATTGGCATTGCATTTTGCGAGTCAATGGTGGGGGTTGTTTGAAGCTAGCCGTGGCGCTTTTGAAAGATGTTCCACGCCTTTTTTTTGGCACCTGTCTTCAAGCTCCATTCCGCCCTCGGCGAAATCGGCCAAGCCACGGCGCCAATGACTCGGCGACTTGATGTACGAAGGTCTCTTAAGAGGAACTATCCTTTATATGGGTTATATATGGTTTCTATATGGTTTCTATATGGGTTATATGGTTTTTCTTCTTCAGGAACTATTTTTGTCAGGTCTTTTGCCCCGCCATGCGGTGCACGATTCTTGTAAGAAGGAAGCCGTCTTCGATGTAATATGATGCGTCGTGCAGTCTTTGGGCCCAGTTTTGGTGCTTTGCTGCAGTTTGTAAAGACATACATAATATTTGGAGGCATGCCACTTGATATATCTATCTCTATCCATATATCACATATCCATCTATCTAGCTATCCATCCATCCATCTCTATCTGTCCATCCATCTATCTGTCGTCTATCTATCCATCCATGTATCTATATATATATATATCATATATCTATATCTATCTATAACTATCTGCCTATCTACATCTATCTACCTATCTATCTATCTATCCATCCATCTATCTACCCATCCATCTATCTATCTATCTATCTATCCATCCATCCATCTATCTACCCATCCATCCATCCATCCATCTATCTATCCATCTATCTACCCATCCATCTATCGATCTATCGATCTATCTATCTATCTATCCATCCATCTATCTATCCAGCTATCTATCTATCCAGCTATCTATCTATCTATCTATCTATCTATCTATCTATCTCTCTCAATATCTATCTCAATATCTATCCCAATATCTATCCCAATATCTATCTCAATATCTATCTCAATATCTATCTCAATATCTATCTCAATATCTATCTCAATATCTATCTCAATATCTGTCTCAATATCTATCTCAATATCTATCTCAATATCTATCTCAATATCTATCTCAATATCTATCTCAATATCTATCTCAATATCTATCTCAATATCTATCTCAATATCTATCTCAATATCTATCTCAATATCTGTCTCAATATCTATCTCAATATCTATCTCAATATCTATCTCAATATCTATCTCAATATCTATCTATCTATCTATCTATCTCTCTATCTATCTATCTATCTATCTATCTATCTATCTATCTCTCTCTCTCTATCTATCTCTCTCTATCTATCTCTCTCTATCTATCTCTCTCTATCTATCTCTATCTATCTCTATCTATCTCTATCTATCTCTATCTATCTCTATCTCTCTATCTCTCTATCTATCTATCTATCTATCTATCTATCTATCTATCTATCTATCTATCTATCTATCTATCTATCTATGTCTCTATGTCTCTATGTCTCTATCTCTCTATCTCTCTATCTATCTATCTATCTATCTATCTCTCTATCTCTCTATCTCTCTATCTCTCTATCTCCTATCTCTCTCTCTCTCTATCTCTCTATCTCTCTATCTCTCTATCTCTCTATCTCTCTATCTCTCTATGTCTCTATCTCTCTATCTATCTATCTATCTATCTATCTATCTATCTATCTATCTATCTCTCTATCTCTCTATGTCTCTATCTCTCTATCTATCTATCTATCTATCTAGCTAGCTAGCTAGCTAGCTAGCTATCTATCTATCTATCTCAATATCTATCTACCTATCTATCTACCTGTCTATCTATCTATCTAATCTAATCCATCTAATCTAATCTTATCTTTTCTTATTTTATCTATCTAATCTTATCTAATCTTATCTAATCTTATCTAATCTTATCTAATCTTACCTTATAATTTAATGTTATAATCTAATCTAGTCTAGTCTAGTCTAATCTAATCTAATCTAATATTATCTAATCTAATCTAATCTAAGCTAATCTAAGCTAATCCAAGCTAATCAAATCAAATCTAATCAATCAGTCAATCAATCAATCTATCTATCTACCTATCTAATCCTCATCCATCCTCATACATCCTCATCCATCCTCATCGATATCCATAGCCATATCCATCCATCCATCTTCTGTATCCAAACCCGACTTCAGTGAAGTTCATGGGTCAATGCCAGGTGCCGGAGCAGGCGTACATCAAAGCAGGACTGCCGCCTTATTTAAAGGGCGGGTGGGCTAAGAGTGGGAGCCTTTCCTCAGCAAAGTTGAACCCTTCTGAATGCATCTTTGGACTTGCATTTTTTTTGGATCTCGTTGGCCTTGGCCTTACAGCATTTTGGCCCAATATCCCAGAGTTGTGGCTGGTTTGCCAATCTGTTTTCCCAGCATGGGAAACTTCTTGTGCTGTGAAGTCGAGGAGAACAAGGAGGCTTAGGTAGAGGTGCTTACCGAAGCAGGTCGCGGTCCAGAGTTGATGCCTCCCATCGATACAGATATCGGGCATTTGTTCCTTGGATTTCCAGAGATCCACCGACCAACGCCAACAGACGAATGTCAAATTGTCAAGGTGTTGGCTCAAAGTTACATCCCAGCACTGTACCAGCAGCATCAGCATCAGTACCAGCAGTACCAGCATCCATATGGAGAGGTTCATCATGAACCTCGGCGTACGGATGCTGGTCAGCCCATGCGGGGGGGTAGAGAGGCCACCGGTTTTCATGGTGTGCCAATACAGACTAGCCAGGTGCAAGTGGATGAACATGAGGAATAGTGGGCTGCCAAGTTGAAGAAATTGATCTTCAAGAACTCCTCAGCTTCACGCAGAGATTCGGCAAATGGAGCTGCAAGCAGAGATTGAGACATGCAGGAGCAACGAGAGGATCGACGAGCTGCTCCGCTGAGGTCCCTAGCAGCCTTGGCAGCCCTGGCACTACACCAAAACCATCGCACAGCGCCGAAGACCCGCAACTTGTGGATGGGGGGAGGGGCGAAAAAAGTTGCAAGTTTCGAGCTTCTCTGTGCTTTTGACCGAGTTGCTGCGTTGCTCTTCGTTTTTCGTTCTGTGAGATGTTGAAGAAGACTGCAACACCCTGTGACAACCGCAACACCGCACACGAAGTTTTGAATTTGGCCGCAGGACCTGATTTCAGCCATTGCTATCCTGGCCCAGCGGAGGCATTCATCTCTGAACAAATCAGATTCCACCTGGTGACCCGCGCCCGATCTCACCTTTGTTTACGTGCGTTTCTATGCTGGCTGTATTCTGATATGATTTCTCGGTTTCACTCAAAACATGTCTAGGGTGGATTCGCCCAAGAAACTTCCAGTTGGCTGTGAGTGGGTCATGAGTCATGAGAGGCTAAGCTACAACATCATGGGCACCTTCAACGAGGCCTGGCAAGCAGTGACAGCGGTGCAACTTTATTTGGGGGTTATTTTTTTGAGGGATGCCTAAATAGTTAGAAGAGCGAGTGCTTTACTGTTTGCCAACACGTTTTGATGGTTGCAGTGGCAGTTTCCACCATCGTGCGCGCTACTGGGGGCACAGTTGGAACCTCATCTCAGGAAGAACGAACCTCCAGGGCCTCCAGGGGTCGATGTTTTCACCAGCGAGAACAGGCCATGGACTCACATTCAGTGAATTTCCATGCCATTTAGCCGTCCAATAAAAAAAGACCAGTTGCGGAGAGCCGGAAAGCCGATAATTCTGATCATTTGATCGCCAATTTAATTTGCTGATTTGGCTTACTATATTATAATGATGATAATTTGCTATTATGATAACCGATATCCGATAACCCAATTATAATCATGCCAATTTAATTTGAAAAACTTTGCCGATTTGGGGTTATTGTAAGCCTGCCCCCCAGTTGGCATCATGTTCCGAGGCCCAAAAGCTCCGAGGGCGGAAAACGCCACCGCGTTGAAAAATTGAGAATGAAGTCTTTGGAGTGGATAGCCTCTGAACAAGGAGAATTCTTCGGAGAAGTATATATGGGAAAATGATTATGATGGGATGATTATTTATGATTTTCTTTTTAGTAATCTAACAACCAGCTATGGAAACCAAGACCTGTTTGTGGTTTCTCTCGCTTCACGATATGGCATGAAGACTTGAAATCTTTGGAATTTTAGCCAAATTTTAGCTTCGGCATCAGCAGGGAATCTTTCAATATTTTGCCACCTTTGGCATCGACTTTTTTAGCCAATAAAGGCCGGTGAAGCATTTTGTGATGTGATCAAGGTCATTTTTTTTGGGTACCTTTTACCTTTGTGTGGCCGGTTGCTGGCCTTGTCTTCCTTTTTTGAGCCGAAAGAAAATCTGACAAGCTGGTTTTGGCATGTTTTGGCATCCCATGTTAGCTGAGCCACTTCGGCTCAAACATCTGGAAGCTTTGAAATTTCCAGGCGGGCCCTATGAGGGGATGGTCTATAAAACGAAGTCGTGAAAGCTGGTGATTGCACCTTCCCAACGATTTTCCATTGTGGTTATGGGCAAAACCTGAAACCCCGACATCCACTTCCAAACAATTTTGAAGTTTACCGGCAATAATGATCAATAAAAGGTTTTGACTCATCCCTGTACATTGGTATATCGGTCGAGTCATGATTCAACCTTGTCAACCCAGAATGTGATTGTGTAAAAATTATTGTATAGCAACCCCCCAAAAGATAGAATAACCGTAATTAATCACTATTTTAGTGGGGTTTTACTGTTCTTTATTTTTTTTTGGGTTGCTATAATTTAATAGATAAAGATGACCCGCGTAGTCTTGTGTCCATTGATATCCCCCTTCCCAGACTTGAAGGCCCGATATTTTTGGGGGGCAAAAGCAGTTTCAACAATGGCTCTATCCCATTATCTGCCCATAATAATTGGTGAAATTGCCAGTGACCAAAACCATGATCTATATATTTCATATCATATGTATGTATAAAAATAAATAGTACTAGTACTATAATGTTTGATATATTATATTTGATAAACCAAATATGATATATAATGTATGTTTTAACTTATTATATCTTTTAAATTAGATTTTATCTATATATTATATATTGTAATTTGTATACAACATATTTCATATTATATATCATATATCATAAAGCAAAAAACTATTATCTATTATATCTTTTATATTACGTAATATATATATATATTAGGTAATATATATATATATTATATTAAATACTATGTACTATATATTACACATTATATTTTAAATATTATATATTATAGATGAACAATATATATTGTGTACTATATATTCTTTACTATGTATTATATATTATATATTTTGTATTTTATATTATGTACTATTTATTATACATTATATATTATATTGCAAATTATGTTTTATATATTGTAAATTAAATATTATATATTGTATATTATATATTATATGTTTTATATTATGTTTATATATTATATTATATATTATATATTATATATTACTGTATATTATATATTATATATTAAATATATAATATATAATATATAATGTATAATATATAATATATAATATATACTATATTTTACATTTTTATTTATATATTTAATAAAATATACAGTGTATTATATATAAACTATTAAATATTATATTTTAAATTGTTTCGTTTTTCAAACATTTTATGCTATATATTTTGTTTAAATATATTATATATTTTGTATTTTATTTATTATTTATATTATATATTGTATATTTTATATTATATTTTGTATATTGCATATATATATTAATTATCATATACTTTATATCATATACTATATATTATATATTATTTTTTAATTATTATATATGATATGTTATATATATTATATATTATATTTTATATATTATTTATTATATTATATTTATTATAGATTATATTTTATCTATTATATATCATACTATATATATATTATGTTATTTTCATGTATATTATATATTATTTATTATATATTATGTATTGTATATTATAATTTGTATTATATCATATATATATATATGTTTTTTTTTTTAAATACGTTATATATATATATATATGTTTCCTATATATATATACATACATATTATACACGACCATCATGTTTAACATATCATGTCAAAGATGATACTTTACTATAGCATCATGGTATATTGATATGTCCATATGTTTGACATGAGTACGGTATTTGCTGTCGTATTACATCAGGTACTTCCCATAATATCTTCCCATCTCCCAGCAGGATTCTCCAGCATGGGCGAGTCGTTGTCACGGCTCGGGGATCTCGGTTTCCGATTGGCCAACAAAAAACACCTGGCGAGGGCAGATGAAAACGCAGGGTTTTAACATGGGAGAACACGAACAGCCACAAAACTCAAATGATTCATGTTTATTGATGGTATATGATAGTTGATCATGGTTTGTCATGGTTTGTCATGATTTGTCATACATTTCCACATCAAAACTTAAAACCACCCAAGGGGTCGTCACGTTTTATCATAATTTTCCATCATGAATCCCAAAAACAGCGGCCATTACCATGGGTTTTAGTCTGTAGTAGTCTTTTCAGAACAACGCCATTCATATCCCCACTTCCAGTTGAATCCCAGTAAATTCACAGTCAAATCAGTTACATCATCCATATTAAATCAACCATCATGAATGAACATTTTCGTATCATTTTCCCATGATTTTCTGAACATTTCCATACATTTCCCCTAGCTTCGCCTGGGCCGCTTTAGCTTCGAAAAAACCACGCAAGCGGCAGCTCTGTGAGGTCAATTCAGTCCTGCTATGACCCGGAAGGCACTGCAGCGATCATCAGGAAGAAGAAGGCGGAACTTTGACTCAGAGGGTCGCCTCGGAAGATTTGCTCCCGGATTTTCTGTTTAACCCAAAGTGGGCATTTTTTTGCAGGACACCCATGGCGTTTTTCAACTAGAGAAATACTGTGATTTTTTCTGGGACTGATCAAAGATGATCAAAGATGGGGGATTTCAATATTCGGAATGCTGCATTTTCTTCCCATGAAAAATGGAAACATCTCCTATGAACAACGGCCAGGCGCAGCGCGCAGCCTTGAACCAATACGACGAGCTGCTGAAGCGGGTCGCAGATCGGGATCCCTCTGCGGTGCAAGAGGCGGCGGCATCGGCATCGGCTGTGGCGAAAACCTCCAGAGGATGAAACATGGGTAGGAGATGGTAAAACATGATGAATGAATATGAATGATCATTGAATATGATCATTGAATATGATCATGATTTGTATGATATCAGCATTGATATGCTGCATATGCTCTTTTTGACTGACTGACTTGTATGGCATTTGATGGCCATTTTCGATAGACTTCGATGGGAACCGGTGGCAACATCTCCACATCAGTCGACATCATCATGGTTCATCCCATCCCTCGAGTAAAAAGCCCACCTTTACTGTAGTGCTCCCCAAAATACAGAGATGGAAATACAAGATCTTTCGGGTTTCGTGGACGGAGGGCACTTGATTCACTTGATATTTCATCTTTCAATTTTTTGAGGGGATGAGATTTATTTCATGTTATTGCATGTTTTCGAGAGAATTACATTTTCTCCAGTCGTTTTTAGGCTTCCTGTCCCGCTTGAGGTCTTGCAGTTTGATCAAGAGAACAAGCTCAAGGCACCTGTGCAGCAATCGAGGGTTTTGGATCGGCCTGGCCCGATCTACGGTCTTGAAAACATCAAAGGGTATAGTGAAGCATGCGATTTGTGTATTTTTGGTGCATTAGAAGTTAGAGTTTATTCATATGATACGATGTTAATACATGTTAATACGTGAAAAAAGTCAACAGTTTTTTTTGGCGGCCACATCTAGCAGATTCTTTCAGACTGCCAGGGACAAGGTGAGTTCAAGGGCAAATTCTGGATCGAACTGCAACAACACGATGACTGGCCGCGGGCTGAAGGGATACTGAGCAGTGGAGCCGCTGGGAAGTGATTTTACAGTAGCAGAAGTATCGGAGTATCATTGCTGTATATGGATGTACCCTCTGGTTATTTAACAGAGCCATGGAAAATGGCCCATTTATAGATGGTTTACCTATTAAAAATGGTGATTTTCCATGGCTATGTTAAATAACCAGATGGTATAATGATGTATAATGATGTATTTCTGGAATATCATTACTGAACATATTAAAACATATGAACATCATATGACGGGTGCAACATGGTGCAACCTAAGGCGCCCTGAAATACTGCTAGGATATGGTAGGATGGTTAAGCCGATTAAGCCATGCAGCCCCCCAAGGCCAAAGGTCTTGGAGAAGCGTTCCTCGTTGGGTGTGCCACCCCCACAATGAGTGGCCGCAGGTTTCACAATCCATGGTGAAGCTAAAGTCACCGGAAGCAAAACATGGGCTGTTGGGTTCAGTTTTTCAGTTTTCGATGTTTCCCGTTTTTACAAGAGCAGATTTTCGTGAGAGCTTTCTTGATATGGTGAGTTTTGAGCGTAATTCCATTCACAGCTGACAAATGAGTCGCTCCAGTTGTGGGCTTTTTCAAATCGACACAAAAAATCCACCGCACAGCAGGGTCTCACCCTGCGAAGAACTGCGGCAGTTGCGGCAGTTTCAGAATCAGAATCAGATCGCAGGTGGGCCCTGGCAGACCCGGGTTCGCCGTTGCACCAGAATTCTCCATGGATTTCTTGATGGACATTGTGACATTTTCCAATATCCAAATGATCGCCATTCCAGGAACCCAAATTGGAGGTACGAGATGGTACGAGTATACCTATAATATGGCCTTATATATATATATATATATGGTACTAAATAAGTACCTCCATTGTAGGATTCTGGGTTTTTCCAGGATCCAAATGAGCTGCCGCAGTTGCACGGCGCCTGCCAAAGAGCATCGCCGAAGCGAAAGGTAAAACGACGCGGCTCGACGGAACCGGTTGTCGAAGATCGAACTGAATCACTAGAATCACTAGAACTTAACGACCTCCAAAATAGGACTTCCATGATGTTCCATGAAGCTTTAATATGTAAGCTTTACATGAAGCATCATGAACGTTGAAACATGTTCAAACGCAAACAAGACTTCAGACCAATCATTTTTGCCAGATGTGCGCATAGAGGTCGCACATCGCACGTGGTGAGCGCAGCCGCTTTGAAAAAACTCAGGGTCCGTGTGGCAGCTCTCTGTTACCAAGGCAACGGGGTCTGCGGGTCTGCGTCAATGGGATATCCATCACTGGGAATCGATAGGCACTACATATTTGTTGTTTGATTTTGAAGCACCTTTACGCAAATCCCAGGAAAAAAATATTGGACAGTTTGTTGATAGAATCTGAAACTGTGCACGAAATGGTTGAGTGTATTCGGATCGTCCTCTTTGTGGCTCTCTCTGGAATATCTTGGGTTTCCACTCTACAATGCTCTACAAGATCCGGGTTTGTTTGAACATATTAGTATGCCACCCCACAATCTCATGTTGGATCGTCATTTGGTCCGATTAAAAGGATCATTATGATCATGAATTGGGCGAATATGCCTAATTTTCAGGTAACTAAACCCATATCATATTGGACATACTATATATTCCCATATATTCCCTTAGCATCCATTAGTCCTTAATAGGACCGTTGATATCCATTCATTCATCCCATGAATCTGGTTCAGCTTGTCTCTCCCATTGATTCCCCTTTTTCGTTTCTTCAGTCGTGGCACCAGGAAAGTCATGGCACGCCCCATCCTCATGCCCGTGGCAACTCGGATGGGCATGGGCTGTTGTCATCACCATGACGGCTGCCTAGGTATCCAAGGTGAGTCTGCCTAGGCAACAAAAACCTTAGGAAAATGATGGTTGAACGAAGAGAAAAACTAGGGATGTCAAGTTGGGAAACTTGTAGCTGATTTATGATGATTTCTGATAGTTGAGGCACAGTTCACTTCGGATAAGCGTTGGGTTGAGGGGAATTAATAACTCTCAATGGGTTGATTAAATCCAACTTATGAGAGGGGGGGTCTCGCCTTGTATGGGGATTTAAGGGGAATACAAGAGGCTGCATCAAAATCTGTAGTCTTCCATAATCTCCTGGGGAGGATGATTCACCATATATTCACCATATTTACCAAACATTTTCATGTGAACAGAAGGGTACCAGGGTTATATTCCGCCATCTTTATCAAGTTTCGCAGATTAATTTTGTGCAGATTCAACCATCTTCAACCTACGTTTTTCTTAAGGAAACGGGCATCTTTACCAGTTCACTCACCATTTTCTTGCGAAAAAACCCGTGCCATTTTTTCCAAGGCCTTGTGCCTTGCGGTGGCTGCACTGCTGCGATCCAGCTGCTTCGTGCAGGCTTTGGGGTGAAGCCCAGTTCCCCATGTTTTCCCCATTTCCAACTGGTTGGTGGTTTGGATTTTTTTAATATGGCAGTGTGTCAAAACCTTGTACCCCTGGTGAACATCAAAATAGCTGGTAAATGGATGTTCATCCCCCTAAAAATGGTATTAATAGGTATTGATCCATACCCATATATTTTTCCATCTATTGGGAAATTCATGATCCCAACTGACGAACTCAGTCCATCATATTTTTCAGAGGGGTAGGGCTCAACCACCAACCAGGTTATTATCAACCATTATTAACCATCATTAAGCATCATTAACCATCATTGACCATCATTAACCATCATTAACCATCATTAACCATCATTAACCATATAATAAGGGAGGACCATCAAAAAAAAAAATAATTATCATCAAAAAAAATAATTCATCAAAAAAAAATAAATCATCAAAAAGAAATTTAAATAAAGGAAAGAAAGGGAAGGAAGGAAGGAAGGAAGGAAGGAGAGAAAGGAAGCAAGAAAGGAAGGAAGGAAAGAAGCGAAGCAGGAAAGGAAGGAAGGAATGAAAGAAGGGAAGCAGGAAAGGAAGGAAGGAAGGAAGGAAGGAAGGAAGGAAGGAAGGAAGGAGAGAAAGGAAGCAAGAAAGGAAGGAAGGAAGGAAGGAAGGAAGGAGAGAAAGGAAGCAAGAAAGGAAGGAAGGAAAGAAGCGAAGCAGGAAAGGAAGGAAGGAATGAAAGAAGGGAAGCAGGAAAGAAAGGAAGGAAGGAAGGAAGGAAGGAGAGAAAGGAAGCAAGAAAGGAAGGAAGGAAAGAAGGAAGGAATGAAAGAAGGGAAGCAGGAAAGGAAGGAAGGAATGAAGGAAGGAAGGAAGGAGAGAAAGGAAGCAAGAAAGGAAGGAAGGAATGAAAGAAGGGAAACAAGGAAAGGAAGGAAGGAAGGAAAGAAGGGAAGCAAGGAAAGGAAGGAAGGAATGAAAGAAGGGAAGCAAGGAAAGGAAGGAAGGAAAGGAAGCAGGAAAGGAAGGACGGAGGGAGGGAGGGAGGGAGGAGGGAAGGAAGGAGGGAAGGAGGGAAGGAGGGAAGGAGGGGAAGACAGGGAAAGAAAGGAAAAGAAAGGAAAAGAAAGGAAAAGAAAGGAAAAGAAAGGAAAAGAAAGGAAAAGAAAGGATAAGAAAGGAAAAGAAAGGAAAAGAAAAGAAAGGAAAGAGGAAAGGAAAGAGGAAAGGAAAGAGGAAAGGAAAGAGGAAAGGAAAGAGGAAAGGAAAGAGGAAAGGAAAGAGGAAAGGAAAGAGGGAAGGAAAGAGGGAAGGAAAGAGGGAAAGAGGGAAGGAAAAGAAAGGAAGGAGGAAATGAAGGAGGAAAAGCAGGGAAGGAAGCATACAAATTGCCATTCTTTACAAATACAAGCTAGCTTTCGAATGAAAGGATGTACCTGACCAGTGGTAGACGGGCTATTTTAGGACCAAAAACGAAACCCATGTTATCGGGAGATTGTTGGAAGTTAGCAAGGAAACATTAAGGACCCCCAAAAAAATGAGGGAGGGTAATTTAATTTGTTTCTTTTTTTTTCTCCTTGGTTCCTGGTGGCTCCTATAGTTCCCTGTGTGGCTCCTGGCTTCTGTGGCTTCTTCGGCTCCTGTGTCCCTGGTGGCTCCTGGTGGCTTCGTGGCTTCTTGGCTTTTTGGCTTCTGGCTGCTTGTCTTTTAGCTTCTTTGGTACATGGCTCCTCCGGCTCCTCTGGCTTCTTCGGCTCCTATGGCTCCTTCGGCTCCTGTGGCTTTTCGCTCTTATGGCTCCTTCGGCTCCACATCTACACCTACGTCTATGTCTATATCTATATCTCAATCAATCAATCAATCAATCTATCTATCTTTCTTTCTATCTATCTATTTGTCTTTCTATGTATCTTACCCTATCTTACTCTATCTTACCCTATCTTACCCTATCTTTTCCTATCTTACCCTATCTTATCCTATCTTTTCCTTTTTATTCTATCTTTCCTATATTGCGAATGAATGTATCATGACCATGTGACGCTTTGCAAGGGGGAGGCGCCGCGCCCTGTTTTTTTTTACTTGAATCCTACGTGGGTACTGCATGAGTATTGAGCATATTTATATACGCTGTCAAGGCTCACGAGAGGTATAGAGTAATCCTGTGGACACCACTCATGTGACGCTTTGCGGGGGGAGGCGCTGCCCCCTCCCGCCTTTTTATTTAACCCCCCCCCCGCGGCTTGTGACAACGCCAGAAAGGTGGATGATAAGGCCCACCTACATTGCAAATGAATGTATCATGACCATGTGACGCTTTGCGGGGGGAGGCGCTCCCCCCGCGCCCCCCTCCCGCCTTTTTATATTTGAAAGCCCCACCCGCGGCTTGTGACAACGCCAGCAAGGTGGATGATAAGGCCCACCTACATTGCGAATGAATGTGTCATGATCATGTGACCCAAGGCATTTCCAGGGGGGGAGGCCAAACATGTGGCTCTTGTTGAGTTACTTTGGTTATAGTTGAAAACACCAAACATACAAAGCGAACCAACCAAGCAACCGAGCAACCGAGCAACTGACCAGCCAACTAGCCACCCAGCCCACATGCTTGGTTTGTTTCTGTGCTGTGACAACGCCACAAAGGTGGATGATACGGCCCACCTATACTGTTCTGTTGGGGGGAGGCGCTGCGCCCTTGTTTTTGTCTTAACTTGAATCCTACGCGGGTACTGCATGAGTATTGAGCATATTTATATACGCTGTCAAGGCTCAAGAGAGGTATAGAGTAATCCTGTAGACACCACTCATGTGACGCTTTGCGGGGGGAGGCGCGTTGGTGCTTTTTTCAGGAACATGGCACTGGTGCCCGATGCATTTCCAGGGGGAGGCCACATGTATGGCTCTTGTTTTGTCAACCTTTTGTTATTTTGGTTCGGTTGCACGCACGCGCACACACACACACACCAAACGACTACAACCAAGACAGCGAAGAAGCGAACCAGCCAAGCAACCAAACAACCAACCAACCAGGCAACCAGCCAACATGCTTGCTGTGCTTCCGTGCTGTGACAACGCCACAAAGGTGGATGATACGGCCCACCTATACTGTTCTGTTGGGGGGAGGCGCTGCGCCCTTGTTTTTGTCTTAACTTGAATCCTACGCGGGTACTGCATGAGTATTGAGCATATTTATATACGCTGTCAAGGCTCAAGAGAGGTATAGAGTAATCCTGTAGACACCACTCATGTGACGCTTTGCGGGGGGAGGCGCATTGGTGTCTTTTTCAGGAACATGGCACTGGTGCCCGATGCATGTCCAGGAGGGAGGCCTGTATGGCTCTTGTTTTGTCAACCTTTTGTTAGTTTGGTTCGGTTGACGCACACACACACACACAAAACGACTACAACCAAGACAGCGAAGAAGCGAACCAGCCAAGCAACCAAACAACCAACCAACCAGGCAACCAGCCAACATGCTTGCTGTGCTTCCGTGCTGTGACAACGCCACAAAGGTGGATGATACGGCCCACCTATACTGTTCTGTTGGGGGGAGGCGCTGCGCCCTGGTTTTTGTTTTAACTTGAATCCTACGTGGGTACTGCATGAGTATTGAGCATATTTATATACGCTGTCAAGGCTCAAGGGAGGTATAGAGTAATCCTGTGGACACCACTCATGTGACGCTTTGCGGGGGGAGGCGCTGCGCCCTCCCCCCGCGGCCCCCTCCCGCGCCCCCCTCCCGCCTTTTTATTTTAAAGCCCTGCCCGCGGCTTGTGACAACGCCAGAAAGGTGGATGATAAGGCCCACCCACATTGCGAATGAATGTGTCATGATAAGGCCCACCTACATTGCGTCCATTCCAACATAGTAGACATACACCTTTGCAAGTCAAAATGGGGATGGCAGCTGACCATTGCTGTGTGGGGGCCTGGAACTGGTGGCCGGGTGGCCCAACGACTCAGCTGCCTTGCAAGTAGGGCTGTGTGGCTCGAACGCTAGGTCCTGGGAATTGGGTACGCTTGGTCGCTGGGCCAGGTAACTTACACGCATGGAAGTTCGATTCCCGCACGTTCCCATCTTTCTTGGCATTACCAAACCTGTCGCAGCCAACCTGCTCAGCTTCGTCTACTGTCCTCCTGCTACTTCCTCTGGGTTTTAGCGCCAGGCTTGACCTATTGGCCTCTGGCCATTTGGCTTTTGGCTCTTTGGCCTTTTTCAAGCATACTTCATCGCGTAGCCGTGCGTTGTTGTGCAAGCTTCCGTATACAGCAGGCCCACCCACCCGTGCCTGGAAAACATGATGGAAAGAATGGTTTTTGTAGCCCATTGGATTCAATGTTGTTTGGCCCAGTGCCTCGTTATTGAACAGCTTGCGAACCAATACGTGTTCCTTGTGCGATGACTCGTACATGTCGGCGTCGACCAAGCCCACCCAACCGTCCCTCCCAAGTATATTCCTTTTTTAATATACTTTTTCTGCTAGTAATAATTGTTTTACCAATGACCCCCCAAAAATTTAAATCATCAAAAAATAATTTAAACATATTTTTTTTGATGATGCAATGCACAGATTTCATGATGCTTGTATTTTGCGTTTGGCTTGCGCAGGCCAGGATATGAGGGAATATTTTTTTTGATGAGTTTAATTTTTTTTGATGGGAAATTAAATTTCTTTTTGATGACTTTTAATTTTTTTTTGATAGCTGACTCGTGGCTGGAAGCTGGGTGACTTGTGTTGCCTGGTTTCTTTAAGTCCATTGGCCTCCTGGAGTGGGGTGTGCTGAAAAGGGGGTGAGGCTGCCTTAAGGCGCAATGCCTTTGCCTACATGGCGAAAGACTGGGAGAAAAGCCAATGCAAGGCACTTTGAGGGACTGGAAGTTGGAGCTTACATTGAATTCGTCGGCTACAACGATCAAAACCGGCAACAGGGGAGGATCCTGGGTTGCCTGGCTGAGACAGAGCCATGTCACAGCCGAGAACGTGGAATGGCGGCTCAGGTCCATGTTCTTGCCATTGAGGACGAGTACTTTGAGTACTGGCACAACCAGACGTTTGGAGAATATGATGTGAGACTACTGACACCAGTCCACTTCTGTGAGGTCCCAATTGCAAGCTGCCAAGGGCAGACCCGCTATCGCAATCCCCTACACGTTGACGTCTTCCGGGTGCTGTCTCTTGAGGACACTGCCACCCTTGGATGGCTCACTGATGTCCATCGGTCCCGGTTCGATGGGCCCGGCTCTCCTGGTGCGGGGGGTGCAGGCGATGGTGCCGGCCTTGGTGCTGGTGCTGTTGCCGCTACTCCTGGTGCTGGGGGGCAGGGACAAGAGAGGGGGGCCGGTGTTGAGCCAGGAGCACCCGGGATTGCAGGGCTTGCAGCGGCCCTAGGTGATCGAGATCGAGGAGACCTAGAGAACCAAGCTCGCCTAGGATGGAGGCGGCTGATGAGCGCGGCCAGGGGCCAGGACGTCGTGAGCGAGGAGACGAACGTGACCGCCCAAAGAGACGAACTCAGTCGGGTGATCTCCTCGATGAGCTGCAGGGAAGGCGCCCCAAGGAACCTCGTCTATCTGCCCTGGACTTGGGGAACTTGGAAAAGAAGGAAAAGAAGCTGAAGCAGAAGAAGAAGAAACAGAAGAAGAGAGAAGAAAAGGGCCAGGAAAGCAGCAGTGTGTCGACCTCCTCAACATCAAGTGACGATCAAAAGTTTTTCGAGGAGCCGCCCTTCCAAAAGGCATGGAGCGACTGAGACGTGTTCATCAGAAGCACCCAGGTCGCATAGCGTCCCGAAGTCTTCAGAGATTGCAAGAGCTTCTGATGAACGCTCAGGGAAGGGGAACGGCATTCCAGGAGGAGGAGACAGCGATGCTCCCTGCGGTGGCAGTGGGTTACCTGACGCAGGTATTTTTCCAGCAGCATCCACCGAGCGTGGTGGGGCTCCGGTCAAGCAAGGAGCTGCGCACTTTAGCGCATTGCATAGATCTGATTTGCCGGAACGATCCACTGAGAAGCCTCGATGTGATGATTCAGAGACTAAAGGCCATCGAGCTCTCCCACATCCAGGGCAACTGGCATCAGGCCTCGCAGTTGGAGCTCGTGATGTCGGAGGATCAATTGGCGACATTCCGACAGGAGGTCAAAGCAGCTCAGCAAGAGGTGAAAGCGGACTTGGCCCTGCAACAGGGAGCAGGCCAGAGGAGATGGTCGAGACCCTGGAGATACGAGGCGCCCGGGACAGGGGACGCTCCAAAGACCGGGGACGTGAAAGAAGGCGGCGGAGGAGACAAACCCCCCGACAATGCTCAGAGGGAACCGAGGAAAGGCAAAGGAAAAGGCAAGAAGGGGGGCAAGAAAGGAGGGTATCGATGGTGAGTGACCTACCTCCGTTGCGGCTAGAAGTGCTTGAACGAGCAGTTCATTCAGAGGGCATTGAGTCAGGTGATCGTGAGGAGCTCCTGGCAGCCTTCCAACTCCCCAAGATGCAGGAACTGTTCAAAGTTGTGATCGAGAGCTATGTTGGCGAAGATGTCAGAAAGGAGGCAGAGACTGAATTTGCCAGTGTGTTGATTGATGGACTGGGACGTACAGAGGCTGAGAAGTTCCAAGCCGTTCAACAGCACTTCAAGCCTCTCTGGCTGGATGAGGTGCCCGCCATGATTCCTGGTTGTGAGCCCGCAGAGGCGCCAGAACCGCCCCATCACCACGGTGACGTTGATCCTCAGGGGGCTGGTGTCATACTAGACAAGTATAAGAACTGCGAGTTTCATGAGTGGAGTGGACTGGCGCTGATGGAGGCGTCTACGTGGGAAAAGGCGCTGGTGCCTTGACGTGCTCAATTTTCCAGGAGAATTACCAGGACTCGCTGGACCCCCAGCTGGTGGGACAGGCCCTAGACGGGAGGCGACTCTATCTTCTGAAGGATGAACTCCAACTGGGGCGTGACCTGGTGGACAGATTTGGAATAGAGAGGGCCACGGTGATATCTGGTCGACCACAACCAGTGAGAAGTTTTTGAGGCACTTTGTGAAGGGCAAGGTGGCTGTCTCCTTTTGCGGCGTGGTGCTCAAGATGGTATTGAGGGCCCGCCCTGGGCATTTGGGAACGTTCGCACGTTCGCTGCCCTGCTGCACTCGGAAGCATTTCAGACAGTCGCCCATTGACCTTCTGCCGATCAGGCTTCCCCAAGATACCTTGGAAGAAAAGGCCCTCATGAAGAAGCTCAACGGTATGTTCACCCGGAATGAGCCACCTCCAGCTGACCTTCAGCCCCTTTTAGAGGAGGCACAAGTCTGTGGAGAGTCGGCATGGCTTTGGATACAGATCCTTTTGCTCGACTATTTGTACTGTGGCGGCGCGCGACCTCTGGGGCGAGTGATGCCGCACCCGGCTGAACCCACAACAGAACAAAAAGGTGCCATCGATCGGTTGAGGAAGTTGGTGAAGTTGTGGCTTGAAGATACGACCGAGGAGCTTGAGGTGAAGAGCTGGGAAAAACAGTCACAAGACCTTGGTGACATGTACACGGGACAGGAGATTCGCAAAGCCTACAAGTTGACCTGGGCCAGCATAGCACCACACGTCCCAGGGCCCGGAGAGCCAGCCCTGAGACCCTATGTGATTGACCCTGAGCTGGTGCGAATTCCGGATGATGAGCTCCGTGAGCCCCCACCAGCAGCACCAGTGCTGGTTGAGAACAACTTTGAATATGATCGGATCATCAGTCATCTGGTTGAGTCAGGGATGATGGAGCGCGAGGTTGAGGCCGAAACTCTCACGGTGTCTCTTCGGGGTCCATAAGGCGTGGGTTGTCTCTGGCCGGGGAAAGCCATTACGCACCTTGCGGCTCATCGTGAACCTCATTCCTTCCAACACAGTGCAGAGAAGGCTGCCACTTCGCCCTTCGGAAAAGATGTCGTGGGCGCCTCTATGGGGGCAAATGTGCCTGCTGGAAGATGAGGTTATCCTAGCTTATGGCGAGGACATAAAGCACTGCTTCCACATCTTTGCCCCGGGCCCTGCCTGGCGGGGATACTTTGTGATCTCCAAGAAGGCCTCTGGCACATGCTTCAAGGACGGCGACAAGACACCATCACGACCCAGAGTGAAATCTGCCCCAATGGGCTGGTCAAACATCGTTGATTTCGTGCAGTCTTCTCTGGAGAGAATGGGAACCTGTGGTAGCAGCAGGGCCAACGGGGTGCGATAGATGCCAATGTTATATTCAACCAAGTAGTTAGGTTGCCACACACAGTGGCACAGCAAGGCAGCGCCGCTATGGCACCTGTTTCAACGCTCGGACCTGCCAGGGCTCAAGGCCTAGACGGCAGCAGGTATGTACCTGACATGGTGAAAAAGGAAAAAGGGTAAACTGGTCAACTCATGATACCACTGTTGCATCGGTACCAAAATCTTCTTGGCCAGTTACCCGTCGAATTGATCCAGGTAGCAGGAAGGGACTAAAGATGCCAGTTGGCGCATTTGTGTCACGGCGCTTTGGCCTGCCCTTCGAGCTCGCTTCTCTGACTGTATGAATCCTGGATCATACTTTAATTTCCACACCCACGTTTTGAAGAATTGCAAGATGCCCAATCTTGCTGAACGATCCTTCTTTGTGAGGCAATCACCAAGGTTCCAATCGCCAGAAATCCATATCAAGTTTCCCAGCGACTCCTGCAACTGCTCGCGCAACTGAAAAGCTTGAAGAGCGCTTCGCACGTTGCTCAATCCCAGAAGCGGGGACTCGTTCTTGTTGATTGCATCGAAACCTCCACGGCTGTCTGTACCAATGACGCCCTTCACGAACTTCACCATGCTGTTCGCATCTCCAAGAAGATCGTCTTGACAAAGGCATCCATTCAATTGGCACCACAAAAAGCGAGTGCGGAAATTCGCATCTTCGCCCTCCACCATGGACTGGATCTCCCCGTCGTTGGTAGATATTGCCTTTCTCTTCAATGTCCAGGTTCTCCAGGAGACAATGCTTAATCGTCCAGCTTCACCTTGGGCAATTTGAGGTCCACCAAGCATCGTCAGGTAGCCGCCTGTCGATCCGCCTTGAGGTCGATTTGCATGAGCCTGATCGGCCAAAGTCACCACGGTCATGTCCTGCCAGTGCGTCACCTCAGGAAGATGCCAAAGACGAAGTGTTACCGGATCTTGTCGCACTTCCTTGATGAGAGATTGAATCTCCTTGGCAGTCTGCAAAGTCTTGGTGACTGTCAGCTCCGTCAGGAGTAAGTTCACTCTTGCACCGATGTGGACTTGGGTTTGTGTTGCAAGCCATTGAAGAGCGCCAAGTGCGGCTCGGCAAGCTGCAACTTCTCCAGGTGATAGAGGATCTTTAGGATCTTGACGTAGTCGTTCAGCGCTGATTGCGAGATCCTGCAAGCTGTCGGCATAGAAGTCCTGAGAGAGCTGAATCCATCGCTCGTTGTTCTTCTCCATGACTTCCAAATCAATGCCAGTATGGCGGAAACATTGTTGCTTCATAGATCCCCATTTATATGCAGCATCGATTTGTTTTCGAACTTCCAACCATGCAGGATTAGACAAATCGCCAGATCTGTTGAAGTCATCCACATGTCCTCCAACATAGCCAATCACCATGTACTCGTCGGCTTTGTTCCTAGGGTTTGGATTCTTCTGGGTCCAGACCCAAAAACTGCTATCGCCAATGATACGACGACCACCAAGTTGGGTGAACGTCCGGTCCACATCTTTCCACAATCCACGAGGTGCTGTTGCATTCCCGTAGATATTCTTCACCAATCTCAGCAGCTCATCGTCAGATGCACCAAGCGCCTTCTTCAGTTCAGGAACGCCACTTGTGTAGAGCTCCTCTTGCTCCATCTCCTTCGTTCCTGTCTGCAAAAACGCTGTTGACATGTCAAGGCCTTCCAAGGTCCATCCCTTTTGAGCTGTCAAAAGAAGTGAGAGGTTGCGCATCAGCTGAGATTGCACAGGTGCTGATGAGCGAAAAGTTGAGCTCACCAGATCTGGGTGTTCAAATCCCAGCACCACGATTCTTGCCTTTGCTTTGTAGTCGCCAGAAGGGTGAACAGCGCTGTCGGGCTTCGAAGCTTTCTCCTCCAAAGCTTCTGCACGACTCTCAGCTGGAATCTGTTTCCAAGTCAACACCCACCTGGCACGTAGTACTCGGTCAGATTGTGCAGCACGTTTTGCCTCTTCCAGTGAAAGACACCTGCGAACTGCAGCAGTCTTGATGAAGGAAGAAACTTCAGAGGATTTTGCATGATCGAACAGCTTTCGATCTTCATCTGAAAGCTTGCGGTAGACCACCTCAGAGGAGTTGATCTTCTTCACCAAATAGGCCGAAGGATCCCTCAAGAACATCTTACGTTGCCGGTTAGAGGACCAGTCCAGCTCCAAGTCAAAGACATAAGCTTCGTTGGTCTCAAGAATGGCCTGGTTGAGGTCCAAATAGAGTCCATCTCCTGGGTCCTCATCCTCATCAGCCTTGAACTTCTTGAGATCAGGTTCAACAGGGGCTGTGTCATCCAACTCCGGCTCGGCATTCTCCGCATTCTCTGTGTCATCAATCGCTGTAGTAAGAGGTGTTCTTGAAGACGTTGAAAATCTCCTCAGAGGTGCTTCAGGTGGATCATCATCAAAGATCGCATCTTCAGCAGGAACTGGAGGAACGTCCTGCTCGTAGTCGGGTGAATAGCCCTCGGACTCGTAGTCATTGACCTTGTCATCGCCAATCTCTTGTTGTGGATCTGCAGGAAGTGGTCGAAAAGACACAGGTGTTCCATCAGCATATAGAGGTCGACCAACATCGTCCATTCGATACTTGGAGTTGAAGCGCACCTTGGGACCAATCACGGTCTCAGTGTTGGGCTTGTCCGGCAGGAAGGGTCCTTCAATCTCACCATCCATAGGCTCCTCACCTTCGAGGTCCACATAGTTCCGTCGAGGAATCATGTCAGTGAGATGCTTCCAACGGTGAGATTCATCACCTTGAGCTTCAAAAATCGCTTGTTCACGTTCTGAAAGAGGTCTGACACTGTGGACAGAAGCGCGATAGAGAATGTTGCCCAAGATGACCCACACGATCTGGCGTCGGTCTTGTTCATCTTGACCAGCCACCAGTTCATGGAAAACAACTCGGCCAGGACCAACCCAACGAGGTCGAGTGGTGTGACGATGTCCTCCCTTGCGACCCTTGTAGAGAGTGTGGGGAAGAAACTTCCTCCAAATCATCACTGGTTGAGCCATGCTGAAGGTTCGAACAGGCTGTCGGATCGAGGTGTTCCGCAGCTTGGACATCATCAGGGATGCCTTGGCACCCTTGGCTCTACGTGCATGTTCTTCAGCCACTTGTCGTTGAGTCAGAAGTCGTAGAAATTGATCTTGCTGACGCTCCACTGGAAGAGAAAGTTGTTGCCTCAACTCATCGTCACCAAGTGTGGCTTGATGACCAAAGGCCCATTGGATGCTACTGTATCCTTGAACAAACTCTGTTGAGTTCAAGGCAGCAGTCGCCAAAGCAATGGCATGTCCAGGCTCCATGTCGGGAGTTGATTTGTGAATCCTTGAGGCAGCTTCTTTCAAGTGGCCAATGTTTCGTTCGACCACTCCATGTGCCCAACTTTCGTTGTCAGGTGGAGGCATCACAGCAATGCCAAGATCAGCCATCAGTTCGATGACTTGTTGAGAAATCAAGGGGTTGGCATTGTCAGGGATCAAAATCTTCGGTCGTGGCTTATCCATAAGCCAGCGGCTGATGAGGCACTTGATAACGTCATTGGAGGTTTCCACATAGGTCTCTCCAAAGGCGTAGGAGGCCAAAACTTCCGTCACACGATAGTGTGTTGCCATGTCCATCAGGAGGATGAATTTAACCTTGAGGTTCTGTGTCGGAACCTCCCACTCGCCAATGTCGATTCCAAGGTGTTCCCAAGCCTGTGGCAGTGGACGCAAGGAAATAGGGGGAACTTGCTTCGAAGACTTCCCACCAGGTTTCTGCTCCTCACAAATGGCACATCGGTACTTCAGGGCTTCCTTCACCTTCCATTTTTCTACTTGGGCATCAGTCAACATCCGCGCCAAATTTCTTGACGTCGGGTGACCAGCCGCCCGGTGGAACTTTGAGAGCTGCGCTTTCCACCTGGTCAACATTTGAGGCGTCACATCTTTGTAATCCTCATCCTCAGTTGTTTTGATCTCCTCAGCTTGTCCAGGTAGAGCAGCATCAGGTTGGTCTCTTTCTCGCTCCTCAGCCTCAGAAGGTAGGTCTCCACAAGGAGGTAGAACTTCTGCAGGATGTAGCCAGCCCTCGGACTCCGCGTAGATCTCGTTCTGGATGTAGAGAGCCTCACAAAAAGGGTCCACTCCTTCCACGGGGGCTGTCCACAGCATCCTTGTCCATCGAGCAGGCATCAAGAGAGAGCGCCAGCACCTTGCAATGCTCTGGCACATTTGAACTGGATAGTAGGCACTTCGATTGGTTTCCACACCAGCTATCCATTCGTGCTGATGATTGTTCAGACAGCACTTCAATCTGAAGCGGTTGTAAAACTCTTGACTCGAAGTGACCACCTTCCAAGACTTTTTGATGAAGTTGCCATGCGCCGATTTGAGACCAAACCGGCATCCATCGATGCGACATTCCCAAAGTTCGCCATAGAGTGCTTGGAACTTCTGCATGAAGGACTGCACCACAGCCTCTCGCCAGCCACGACATCTCAAAGGCCATTCCCAGTAGATCTCGACACCCTTGGACGCAAGAAAGAGCATGAAGTCCGTCATCTGACGAAGCATTTTGCGCTCTCTGCGCTGGTATTTTGCCAAGACCTCTGGTCGATGTTTGTAGTTCAAGTCAACCCAGTCGCAGTAGAAAGTGCATCTCGGGCTGAACCATGCCTTTGAAGGTGGCTTCTTGCGATAGAGCTTGTAGAGCTGGTTCCATGACTCATCCTTGTAGAGGTCAAAACCATTCGCCAAGTTGATGCGAACAGCTTCCATGCCATTGAGAGAACATTGATGGGAGAGCTCAGAATCTGGGCTGCAAAAGACCTCCCAGACCACAGGTTTGTCGCCATAGACCGTCTCCGCAAGGACGTCGTTGAACTCGTCATGGATGTAGTGCATGGTGTTCACCATCGCCTGACCAACTCGAAGAGGTAGAGGATGCACGTTCTTGGAGTCCTCCACATAGTCCATGTTCAGTTCAGAGCCAGGTTCTGGTTGTAGTCTGGCTCCATCTCGGCTTCGGACACATGCACTGCGGTGTCCTGTGCAGCCCTGTGTTGGACTCGTTGCATCAGCTGATTGCGCTCCTCTGGGGTCAGCAGCTCCATGATCTCGTCGGCAGTGCGTCGTGGAGGTGACTGTTGAGGTGTCACCTGCTCCCAGCTTGTTGTTGATCTCGGTGGAGAAGTCGGCATCTCCGGGTGATATCCGCTTGGAGCTCCGGAGCTTGGCTGGCCACGACCCGCCGTCATCATTGCCTGTTGACCCTTGATCACCTTCTTCTTTGCAGTCTCCAGCTGACGCTGATACTCCTCCAACAGCGTCGTCATCCTCTCTTCTGCCACCACCTTGTCGATCACCACTCTTACCAGGGCTTCTTCGGGAAGAGCTCCGCCTGGTAGAAGTTGCTGTAGTTCCTTCAAGGCCCTCAGCACCATCGCAGGGTTCGGTTGATGAGTGTCGGATGCTGGTGCTCCTTTCTTGGGGATGTACTCCATGCGCAAACCGCACACGGTGCAGTTTGTCCACTGACCCCATTTGTTGGACTGGGGTTTCGCCTTGTTGTGATTCCCCATGCAGGGCCATTGATGACTCTTGGCTCTTGGATCTCGAAGATCTGTGGTCACAGTCCTTTCGAAGTCCAGGTAGAGCTCCTTCTCCTCCTTGGTCTGCTTGGGCGCCATGGGATCGAGTAGACGAAGTTGACGTTTCGTGGGCTTTCGAGGTACTGCTACCCATTGACCCAGACTTGCGGTTCAAATCAAGCCTTCTGTTCCACAGCTTCTCAAACCAAGGTGAAGGAGTTGGACATGTTGAAGTCATTTGACATTCGAAAGACTGTTGATCGTTTGAACCTGTTTCATCGTTTTCCAAAATCAAAGGCCAATATTGATTCCAGCAAAGACTGTCGATCGACAAAGTGAAAAGTTCTGCAGAAAGTTGTTCATCAATTCCATCACCCATAACAACGTTGATTGTGGGACTACCTTGACTGCAAATGTTTCCCTCTGTCAAAAACTGGACCACATCAACCATCAGGTGCTTCTTTGAGTTGCGGGGGAGATAGAAAGGTTTACCTTCAGGATGATTACCACACACTGCCATGCCGTCCGAAAAGTCAATGATGAGTCCATGGGAATCTATGAAGTCCATGCCAATCAAAACCGGTACCAACATGCTGTCGTTAAACCATGGCTCCTTGCTTTCTTCCGGATCAGGTAGTGCATATGCATGAAAGGTGTGTGATGACAAACTGAATTCCATTGAAATACGAAAAAGAGCTTTTCCCCACTTGCCGCTTCCATATCTGAAACGAGGGCACCTTTTTCCGTCGATGTGGATCTTCGCTGACTTGTCCTGCTTCAGCAAAGCGCTGACCAAATTCTTGATCGAAGATTCTGGTCCGGCAGAGCATGTGGCTCCGCTGTCCAACATTCCACAAGGCCCAGCGCTTGACTTGTTGTCAAGGGAGGCCAAAGAGATCTCAGCAGCCCTTGGTGGAGTTTCTGTGGCTGCTGCTTGAAGATCTAAAACCTCCTCCTTGAAGTCCAAGACGTGGTACCCATAGGGCTCCTCATAGTCAGCGTAGTAGGCATTGACAACGCCAGTGTTCTTGGTCTTACTCTTGCCCTTGCCTTTCATGTTGTTTCCAAAACCCTTGCCCCTCATGTAGAAGAGCTCATCCAGGAGGTGCATGTTCTTGCCGTACTTGCCCTTCGACTTGCCCTTGCCCTTCTGAAAAGCATAGAGCGAGTCATCCTCATAGTAGCCCATGTGATACATGCGACCCTTGCCCTTTGGAGCTTGTCGATCAGGGCAATCTCGTGCATAGTGTCCAGGGTGGCCACAAATGTGACAACCATCAGAAGAACCCTTGCCAGCAGCTTTTCCAAAGCCCCGGTCCTTCTTTGCCAACTGTGTCGACTTGTGAGCTTGGGCCCATGTCTGCTGAGCCATTGCATCATTCTCCTTCTTGGTGTCATCAGAAGGTTCAGGATCTGCGCCAGGTTCGTCAGCAGGCCATTCCTCATCATCATCATGCCAGCCTGCATAGGTTGCCCAGCTATCCCAATCATCCCACCAAGAAGATTCGCCATACCAATCCTCATCTTCAGCCAGAGAGAAAAGTTGGGGGCCACGTTGAAGAGCTTGATGATGATGGCCACCACGTTGAAATTGGATCTGGTCGTCATAGAGGATGGTCAAAGCCACGCTCACACTTTCGTAGTCCAACTTGTTGTTTGTGGATGCCAAAACAGCACGCCACTCTTCTGCGCTAAGACAGGCTCCAGAGAGCAATCTCCAACCACGAAGCTGCTTCAGTATGAAGCTGTCGAAGGAACCCAAACCAGCCAAAGATGGAGGTGCTCGACGAGAAAAAGGTCGACTTCCATGAGGACTGTCGCCAGGTACTGAATCACCTCCTCGGGGTCCACGATGTTGTGAAGGCTCCTCCGTAGGAACACGCTTGTAGCTCCCCTTGGCATCAGAAGTCTTACCCTCGGATGCTTTGCTTTTGCGACTCTTCTTGTCATCATCGTCATCATCTTTGCCGTCCTCATCAGAAGACGAAGAAGACTCGCTGAAGTCAAAGACATCCTTCATCGTTCCACCTTGTTGTTCATCTTTCAAAGCCAACAGGGACTCGACGAACTCCTCGTAGTAAAGGCTCTCACGAACCAAGAAGTTGGCAATGGACTCCTGGGGGTAGCGCTTGTACTGGAAGTACTGGTTGAGAATGGCACTGGTGTTGGGCAAGTTTTTACGGACCAAAGGAGATGCAGCCAAACGCTTCAGCAAGGTCTGCACTCCGTTCTTGCCCTTGAAGTCGATCTGGCTCCAAGACATCGCCAACAACCTTGCCGGCCCAGTCAGTTTGGCTATGAGCCTTGGAGCCAAGAAAGCTCTGTTGGACTTTTTGGTCCCCAACACGTACCACATCACTTCTCTAGAATACCTTCTCCAGCCTCTCGCATTGCCATCCCAGGCTGGGATCGCATCAGGCATCTGCCGTGCAGCTTCAGCCATTGTAGAAGGTCAAGCCCAAAAGGATCAAATTGAAAAAGCCCAGCAAGTAGTGACTTGCCAGTAGAAGATGTTCAGAAGGAGTTTGTAGAGCTCCGCAATCACCAGGTAGGTGTCCAGCAAAAAGTCCCAAAAGACGCTGTAGACACCGTCAAGGAAAAAGAAAGATTCAAGTTCAGGTCCAGGAATCCAATCGATCCCAAAACCAAGCCGCACCACGAAGGCCAGCTGCTAGGAAAAAGGGAGTGATCTCAGCGACCACTAGGCTCAGGCCGAGCCTCTGTCGAACCTGCTGAGCTGTTGCCTGTGATTGGCCAGCCCAGATATCGGGGCGTCAAGGATCCCGGTTCCGGTTCAGAATCAGGCTCGGGTAGATCAGGTCGAGGACCACGTCGAGCTCGGCCAGCAGGAGGACGTAGAGCAGGAGGTTGCTGGTCGCGGCTGCGAGAACGTCCTCGAGGTTCAGGATCGAGCCAAACACCGCGAGGTCGATGATCCTCCGCCGTCTCGTCCAAGAGCTGGTAGTGGACGAAGTCCTTGCCCCGGCTCAACCTGCTCCGCTACCAGTGTGGTAGCAGCAGGGCCAACGGGGTGCGATAGATGCCAATGTTATATTCAACCAAGTAGTTAGGTTGCCACACACAGTGGCACAGCAAGGCAGCGCCGCTATGGCACCTGTTTCAACGCTCGGACCTGCCAGGGCTCAAGGCCTAGACGGCAGCAGGTATGTACCTGACATGGTGAAAAAGGAAAAAGGGTAAACTGGTCAACTCATGATACCACTGTTGCAGAACCCTTGCCGGAATTCCCTCGCGCCAAGTGGTGCGCATGGGCGAGCCTTCACCGCTGTTGGAGCTCCGCACACCCCGGGACTATTACAGCTTCTACGTGGACAACTTTGATGGCTTCAAAGTCGTCGCCGCAAATGAAGTGGGATCCTATGAGGGGCGACCTAGTGATCAACAGTTGCAGCTGAGGGAGGTTTTCAAATGCTGGGGGGTAGGCACTGACCCCAAGAAATCTGCAGAGGGAACACTTCAATGGCAAAGCTTGGGTGCCGAGCAACTTGGTGCTGCGGGCGTGGTCGGCAGTGCACGCAAGTTTCGGAGAGCGCTCCTGGGTGCCAGTTTGGAGCTTCTTGGGAACGCTTCGACCGTCAGATGTGAGTCTTGCGACCTGCTGTCGCTGGTGGGAAAACATATGCACTCAGTGCAATACTGCCGGCCACTTGCCTCATGCTTTGACGAGGTCTACAAAGCAATGAACTCTGGGGCGTCAATAAAAACCCTGCCTCTCTGATGACCTGATGATGGTGACAGGGATGCTGCCTCAGCACTGGATGGACCAACGGCTTCAATTCTCCCCGGTTGCCTACGCCACAGATGCTTCCGAAGAAGGTGGAGGTGCTTGTAGTACCATTGGTTTAACGGCGCGCGGGCGTGCCAAGTGCCACATGGGGTGCTGCGAGTCGTTTGATTATGAAGGAGGACAAGCTGATCCCGTGGTGCTGATTGAGGCTTTTGGCGGCATTGGAGGGCTTCGGCGCTCAATGGAATTGCTCGGAGTCATGCCCTTGGGGACCTGCCAGTCAGGTAGCTTCAGTGCACGGCTGCTGGTCTTCAAATCCTCCGCAATTCTCAGGAGGTCGTCCAGCAACCGCGAAGAGGCCGCCGCTGCTCCTTGGCGATTCTTGTTCAAAGAGGAGTGGTTCACACAAGGCCAGCCTCCCCCCAGCACAACTTCAGCAGCACGAGGGAAGAGCCTCCGCCAGTCCAGAATCATCTTTTTGTCAACCTTCTTGATGTCATCGACCGTGATGACAAAGGCACAATGCTTCTTTGCCAGCTTTATGCACATTGGGTCCGAGTCGATGGTCATGGATGAGACCGATCTCGTCGTTCAAACTGAGGCCATTGGCTGCGACCCCATTTTTGTGGAGGCGGCAGAAGTCTTGCACTGCCGCAGGCCCCGGCTTTTCTGGATCAAAGGACTGGAGGTCATAGAGGGCAAGGACCTCGTGCTGTACCGTGACCAGCAAGTGGGAACCCTCACCAAAAAGCTCACTCTGACAAGATTCACGGTGAAGAAGCCACCCTTGGAGCTGTTTCTCCGTGAAGGATGCAGTAAGCTGACACAGAAGGAGGAGCCCTTCTTCACCTTCGCACGCCCGCATCCCAAAGCAAGCGAGCCACGGGAAGCTGCTGGGTATGATCGCTGCAATGACAAAACCCTTGGCAGATGGAGAGGTGATGCTTGGAGACTTGCGCCTTACCAGTACAGCGACCAAAACATGGTTCGCTCTCCTCATGGCGTCCGAAGATTGCTCGGCGATGAACAGCTGCGGATGTTGGGCTACAACAGTGATCATTTTCAGATCAAACAGAAAATCAGTGAGGATCAGCAACAACAGCTCACTGGCAACACTTGGCCGGTCTTGGTAGTGGCCCGTCTGCTGGCTGCGATGGCAATTCCGCACAAGCATTTTGCTGAGAAGAACATCACAGAGGAGCTCTGGGAGGTCTGGCGCTCTTTGGAGGAGCGCGTTACCCAGCTGCGGAGCCAGAGCTGGGCGGTCAAGTTTGGTCCGTTGGCAGGGGCTGGAGCAGGGTCCTTTCACCTTCGTTCGCGTTTGGTGGAGGGTGCCCGCCGCGGCCATCGACCCCTCTAAAGCTCTGAGCGACGAACAGCTCCTTGTTTACCTCCTTTCGCGGGGAGTCTCCCACCGAGGTTCCGATGTCAAGATGGAGAGCGGAATCCCATTTTGCGCCAGCGACTTTGCGCGCCGCTCAGTGGAGTGTGGGCCTGGAAAGTCCTGATGAGTTACAGCTGGAAACAGTCAGGCCATATCAACCAGCTCGAAGCTATCGCAGTGCTTGACCTCCTCAAGAAGCTGGGGCGGTCCAAAGACAACCACCTCAAACGCATTTTGCTCATGGTGGACAACACAACGGTGCTCAACATTCTCGCCAAAGGCAGAACGTCGTCTTCCCTTTTGAAACCCACATTGAGACGTACAGCAGCTCTCCTGCTCGCATGCTCCTTGCGCCTGGTGCTGGCCTGGGTCAAGTCCGACTACAACCTGGCTGATGGCCCTTCACGTTGGAAGGGCAGAAAGAAAAGGATCCATGGCCAGACGTAAGCAAGTTCTGGCAAGACGTACCCAGGCCGAGCGCAAACAAGAGCGAAAAGAGTTGGGAAAGCTGCGTCATCAAGTGGTTTCTGAAAAGACTGAGCACCGTTATTTTCTTCATGTTTCACGTTTTCTAACTTTTCTTATGTCCCACGGAAAGCCTTACCCTCGAACTTTCCTGTCGTTGGATTCTGAAGTTTCACTTTTTATTGAGGAACTCTGGGAGCAGGGCGATCCCCAAGGATGGGCTAGTGACTGCTTAAGTGGCTTGGGGCATTTTATCTGTGCATGTAAGCCTCACCTAATAGGGTCTTGGCGTTTGCACGCTGCTTGGAGCCGCTCGGAGTTGCCGTGCCGAGCACCACCCTTCACTCCCCTGGTTCTCTATGCAGTTGCTCAACAGGCTGTGGCTAACAGTTGGACTGACTTGGCTGTCCTATTGATTTCGGGATTTCATACGTTTGCCAGGGCTGGAGAGTTGTTTCAGGCTAAGGTGGCTGACTTCGTTTTTGACAAAGCGTCTGGGACATGGACACTTCCACTTTCAAAAAGTGGTCAGCGAATGGGAGCTACAGAAAGTTTGCTGCTCACAGATCCCTTCGTTGTCACTCTTCTCCGGAACTTCTGTCGTGGACGACTACCGGGTGACCGTCTTTCTTCTCATAGCCCAGGCCTCCTGAGGAAACGATTGGCAGATACCTTGGAACAACTGGGCTTGGTTGTGCCCTACCGTTGGTACTCTGTGTGTCGGCCACCCATATCTACCGTACAACCAACAACATTGCGGCAGTTTGTGTTCGTGGCCGATGGAATGCTGTTAAAACAGCCAAGATTTACATCTCAGACGGTGTTGCTCAACTCAGTGAACTCACACTTTCACCCTCGAAGCAACGTCGGCTCAGGCAACTGGCCATTTCTTGCTGTCCTGACTCTCTCTCACTCTCTCTCTCTCTCTCTCCCTCCCTCTCTCTACTCTCTATACTCTCTCCTCTATTTATCCATCCATGCGTCCCGTCCATCTATTCATCCATCCATCTATCTATCTATCGGTCTATTTGTCTATTTGGCTGTCTATCCGTCTGTCGGCTGTCTATCCGTCTGTCTGCCTATCTGTCTATCTGTCTATCCGTGTATCTGTCTATCTATTCATCTCATCGATCCACCCATCCATCCATCTATCCACCTATCCATCGGTCTATCTATCTATCTATCTATCTATCTATCGACCTAGTGATCTATCTGACAATCTATCTTTCTGCCTATCTATTTATCTGATTACCTGTCTATCTGATTATCTGATTCTTCCCACCACTGCTGCTGCATCTGAATCTGTCCATAAGTCGGAAATTTGACTTCTAAACTTCCTTGGGCTAGCTATACCATCCATATGTGCGGCCCAACATAAATAGATCCAATGAGTTTCAATATAAAATCGCAATTTTTGATTGGGTGGTATTAAGGGGTATTAGGGGAAACGGATTACAGTTCATCTAAAGACGGCGATCTTTCAATGTCAGAAATGAGTTTCAAAACCATTGGATTTACGGTTGCGCTAGTTGCCGGCCCGTTCATCCATTCTCCGCGGGCTGTCTTAGGACCAGGGGACCTCAAAATCATCCAGCTTTAAGAGCCACATGAGTTTTGGCCACCGGGACACCGACTCGGACATCAAAGTGCTGTCAGGTGTTGGCAATTTTGTTTTTACTAGTGAGTATACCCCCAAATGATCCCAAATGATCCCAAATGTAATAATGGTTGTTTTTAATATATGTCAATAGGGAACATGATTTGCCGAGACCACTGGATGTTTGGTGCCCCATTTTTAGACAAACTCAGATGTCAATTAAGTTGAGATTCAGCAACTTCATCAACACACAGCTGCGCAGCTTGCACGGCTCTGAAAGAGGCTTCGTGCGGTGATGGTGCAATTGGACAACCCAATGCCAAGATGTCTTCACAATTGATGATGACGAGTCAGCACTGTCAGCACCCCAAAAAAGTGAAGACATTCTCGCATTCGGGTACTGCGGCTGCTGACAGGTCCGCACCAAACATCAGCTAGAAGCATGAACCGACCCAGACTGTGCCATTTCGAGCTGCGCAAAGACATGCAGTGATGGGTAGGGCCGGCAGGTATCAGTGGGGCCATAATGGTTGCGGTGGGGCCATCATGTTTTGAGTTGATCAAGTTGTTTCAGGCAGAACAACATTTCTATTCTTGGCACCCTGTTAATCCTGATAGCTGCCAGGGGAAAGGACATCATGGAGTTTTTCTTATATCTGTGCGCACCTTGAACTGGTACCACCCATGTGGCAAGGTTGTTTTGAAGAGCAAACTCATTCCAGGTGTCCAGGCGTCATCAAACTTCCAGAAAAAACCTGTCATCTTGGGTTCCATGGGTTCCAGGCATGCCTGGTCGTGCATTCCTTTTATACACTTACTAGCAGTAATATGATCTTGTCAGGTTTTGTCTTCCAAACTATTGAATATTGGGACTGCCCAGTGCCAAAAGTTTTTTTAAACTTTTGGCGCTTGTGGTGGCGAACATGAATTAACATGAAGCTGGAAAAAACACCAGACAATTTTGAGGCTGTTCCCATCATTCTTGGAGTTTTTCCATGGTTGTCCCAGCTCTCCAGAGCCGCGAGGAGAAACGCCACGAGGGGCCCGGAGGAACAGCGTCGCAGGTTGAGGCCCAGCGAGGGCTTTATCAGAAATTATCCCATGATTTGGGTCGTTGAAGTTTGAACTCCAGAGGAAGAAACCTTTAGAAAGTAGGTATCATGATGGTGCTCTTGATTCTCCACCCGAAACGGATTCAGATTCGAAACAGACGTTACGGTTCTGTGAGGTCCTTCAAGCGATCACTCTGCAAGCACAGGTGCGTTGATGAATCTTTGGATCTTTGGATCTTTGGTTGGCGTAAGAGACATGCTAATAGACATGCCCCCATTCAAAGCAAAGATTGGCAGAAATCATCAGAAATCCATGGCTTGTACAACACATGGTTGGGTCATGTAATGTGCATCACTGTTCGTGTGTAGTTTTCCTTTTGTTCGTTGATCACGTCACATCTCATTTCAGGGCTGCCGAAGTTCTACTTCAGTACATCCTCGAAATCTTACTTCAGCACATCCTCGCAGATTTGATTTCCGGATTTGTCAGCAGGGAACGTGCCGCATACTTTCCAACCCATGTAATTGCATTGCTTGTCCCAATCGTCAGGCATGAAAATGCTCACTATTTGCAAAAAGGAGAACAAAGAACAAAAAAATGGATCCAAGTCACAGAGTGTTCAAATATTTTTTTCCCACTTTTCTCCGGATGGTTGGGTGAAATTGAATATCCCATATAGCCAAACTCTGTTGCGCAGGTGGAGAGGACAGCAACATCTGAGGTGAGCTGGTGCTGGCGGGCACTTGAAGCGGGTGTGATAAAAGGATGATAGGCAGGACCATGTTTTCAACACCAAATATGGAGGTTTATTGGGACTTAGTATGGGGTAGTGGGATAGCTATAAACCACCCACCAACCATTTGGAATCGCCACAAATGATTGCCAAAGCGTTTGCATTTGTATCATGTCTGTGAAGCATATGGGAGAATATGGTCAGAAAGCAAGTGGACATAGTTGGGGTTGAGGTAAATGGGTATACCCTCTGGTAATTTATCATAGCTATTGAAAATTGCCATAGAAATAGTGGATTTTCCCATTAATAATGGTGATTTTCCATAGCTATTTTGACATAACCAGAGGGTAACGCATTATAAAGCTGATATCAAGCGGTGTCAAGTGATGTCCCCATCGGGCTCGTTGGGAGAGGTGCAGTGCCTCCCCGGAATCCAAGCGCGCATTGGAATATCCACAAGTTACAGTATTTCTTATATGTATGTATTGTAGCATAATGTAATGTAATGTCATGTTATGTTATGTATATACGGTCTATTGTATATTTAGTATCTATATATATATATTCAGATTCATTTTTGCCAATGTGTTTTTGGATGGTTTTCGTACTCTGACTGACTTTCCGTCCAGACATGTTTTGAGTCCCGGAGGGTATTGTATTGAACCAAAAATCGGCGCGGGCAGCATCAGACTGAGCAAAGTATCTGAAGAAACCGCGCTGGCCTGTCACCAGTGTCACCATTGTTATTCCCAGTGATACTGCTATTGAATGTTACCGTATGTTATGGAACTGTGTTGAATAATGTAAGCATTTGTTTCACCACCATTGTTATCGATAGATATCGATAGCAACTGATGATTTTTGTTACCTTTACTAGACATTGAATCATTTGATGATGATGATGATGATGATGATGATGAGGGTGATGATGATGATGATGATGATGATAATGACGATGGCGATGACGATGATGATGATATATGGTTATGATGATGATGACGATGATGATGATGATGATTCATGATTGATCAAATATGATGAATGATGTATGATGAATGATGAATGATGTAATGGTGTATGATGAGTGGTGTATGATGTATGATGTATGATATTGCATGATGCGGTAAGATGTTGATGTTGGTGTTGCTGCTACTGCTGATGATGATGATGAAGAAGAAGAATGATGTATGGTGTATGATGTATGATGTTGCATGATGCTGTAAGATGTTGATGTTGGTGTTGCTGCTACTGCTGATGATGATGATGAAGAAGAATGATGTATGGTGTATGATGTATGATGTTGCATGATGCTGTAAGATGTTGATGTTGGTGTTGCTGCTACTGCTGATGATGATGATGAAGAAGAATGATGTATGGTGTATGATGTATGATGTTGCATGATGCTGTAAGATGTTGATGTTGGTGTTGCTGCTACTGCTGATGATGATGAAGAAGAAGAATGATGTATGGTGTATGATGTATATATGATTATGGTGGTGGTGGTGGTCGTGGTGACTTCAATCGTACAGGTCATGGCCCAGCTGTCCCAAGAACTCTCGGAGCTGCGGCAACTGCACGCTACGCATGCCTCGCATGCTGGGCCCCTCCAGCCACAGCGAACGAGCCATCGAGAGGATGAATGGGATTCATGTGGGTTCAATGGGGAGTTCATGGTTATGTTTTCAAATTTAAAAGGTTGGAACGGGATTTTAGAAGGGTTTATCTGGAACCTCAATGATCCCAATGGGTTTGTTCAATTGATTTTATGATATGACTTCAAGGATTATATAGTTAGTTGGAGAAACTCAAGGACATGCTGGGCAAACTACAAGATAGAACCCTGAAATTCATTTTTTTTTGGCAGGTCTAACATGGGTCAGTGGATCAACTTCTTTTCCCAACATGGAAAATCCAAATTCTCGATATGAACATTGAGGAAAATGATCGACGAATGGTGGATGTTCCATTTCTATCCATTTCTATGTGCACCCCCAGGGTACCACAAAAGGTGGTTTATCCAGAGCCAAACCCGGCCAATGAAATGACCAATTCCAGCCTTTCCCAGTGATCGAGGTGCCAGTTTACGTACAACTAACATGGATCATGGATTATTTTGCTATTATCATTGTCATTGCGGATGATTGCGGATTTCTCACCTTGGTCACGTTTTTCTTCACCCATCTTTGCCCAATTCGCCTTTTTATGAGCATCCAACCTATGTCTCCTGAATGTTGCTGGAACAATGGGTCTGCATGCAGGAACCAGTGCGAGTGGGAAAAACAATCGTTGAGGACTGGGATATCTTCCGATGTTTGAGAACTCTGCTGTCACAATATAAACAACGACTTTTACCTGCGCGCATGTGCAGTTGGATAAACCAATTTTCGAGTGGAAATACCGCACTTAGCCCCAGAATTAGGTGCAAAACGAGGTGGGTCCTGAGAAAGCGAGGTCAAAACTGAACTTAGAGAAGATTCAACCCAAGTGTGGCGTTGGAAACCGGGTAAGCGTTACAAAAACGCGCTCGTATGCGCTCGGATAGAAGCACGTCATTTCACAAAGAAACATAATGCGCATACCTCGATCTTCGAAAGGACGCAAACATTTGTCCGTTTGCAAGATTTCTGCCCTTAGGGTGGATTTCTTTTGAAGGACCTGGAAATTGTCATTTTTTGATTACTTTGGTCAATTTTTAAATTTGGCACCTTTTGGGCTGATCTTACATGTTCTTTTGTGTAAAAATGTGTCGATTTTTCTGAGCGGAAATTCTTGGAAAAAGGGCGGAAAATGGCGGAAATATCCGGGCACAGTATCCGGGCACACCATGACCGAACAATGAAAACTTGAAATGGTTGCTGTTTGTTTGAAATTGTTATTTTTATTTTGAAATGGACAAACAAATCTCAAAAATTGGACGGAAACTAATCCAAAACCTGCACTAGAAAGAAATTTGTAGCCAATGAGTATCCAGGTATGCGTCCGTATAAGTATATTATATTCATTTAATGCTAGAGCCGATTTGTTATATCTTTTTTTTAACATATCAGTGAAGCAGCATGATGCAAATAGTTTCAACAATATCGAATTCCAGTTGCACCTTACCAGCTGGAAGTTTCGCAGCTTCAACCAGCTGGGAAAGCCATCATGGTGCAACCTTAGGAGGCCGTCAACGTCAAGGGCGTCAAGGGAGTGGAGATGGAGAGCACCGTCCCAGTCGTCCCAGTTCCCAAGCAGACGGTGACCAGTGACGGCGGAGAAGTCAAGGCTATGCCGACGGAGGTGTGAGGCCTCAGTGTTTAAGAAATGCGATTGGAACGGGCTGTTGAAACTTGAGTGGATCTGGATCTTAATTTTTTGGGTCATACCAGTTACAGGAGCTACTAGAGATCTACACCAACAACTCTACATCTACCACTGACCAACTGGGATACCATGACACTGGATGATGCCTGTACCCGTACGCAGCCTCGCCAGTCTCAAGGAGCCTGGATCTTTTGTTGCCACAAACTCAGTCTTGAGTCTGAAGGGTTTGAAAGAAGGAGCGTGACGGAATCATGAAAGTAGAACAAGGGATCGAATGCCACCAATTGTTTCGCAATGTGCATTGCCAGTTTCAACCAATTTTGAAGGTGACATTGGCATGGGCTGGTAAAGGTCGTATTTTATCTGGATTTCATTTTAAACATACATGACTCCAGACTCCATCCTTTATTTCAGAGCCGGCGCAGACCCCAGTGGCAAGGACCGAGACGTCATGAAAGCCGTTGAGAAAGCCCGTGCGGCAGTTTGGTCCCTCAGTGACCTGGGGATGACAGGTGCCACAACCCCTGAAATTGGCTGCCGAAGCTGAGAGAAGGAAGGTTCAACGACGACTGTGTTGCATTCTAGGCATTTCCGAGCTTGAAAGGTGCCAAACTACATTAGATGTTTGTATATTTATATAATGTTATGTATGTATATATATTATATTATATTATATTATATTATATTATATTTTGCTGTATTACATTACATTATATTATGTTATGTTATATTATGTTATGTTATATTATATTATTTTTTTTAAATATTCTAGTATATTAAGTTATATTGTGTTATATTATGTTATGTTATATTATATTATATTATACTATATTATATTATAATATATTATGTTATATCATATTTTATTATCTTTTATTATGTTATATTATATTTGCGCTCGCGTGCATGTAACTGTTGCAATGCATGCATCCATATGTGCCATGGCCAAAGCATGGTAGATGTTCCCCTCTATCTTAGTTTGCTGGAAGGCATGATTAAAACTAGACAACACTATGATTAACTTACCTATTACATCATTCTATATAAGGTTTGGGGGGTTACTATATTAAATCGCCTGCTATATCACTTATTATTATGGAGTCATTACAGGGTATACTGTAAACATATTAAAACATCTATATGCAGTGTGTATATATATATATAGTGAAAAATACACACACACACATATATATATATATCACCATGAAATATTTCTCGTGTTTTGCTCCCAGCCTAGGATGGTGCGCACTGCTTTTTACTTTAAATGCACCTGCCAAGCAGGTGGTCGAACTGCAGCGCCATGCAGGGCTGTTGGAGGCCTTCAGGGTAGGGCCTGGGGGCCACAAACGGTTGGGGTATTTGAGAACCAGCAAGTAATCGATTTCACAGTGATGTTGTACACACACATACATACATACAGACAGACATACAGACAGACAGACAGACATACAGACAGACAGACCTACAGACAGACATACATACAGACAGACAGACAGACATACAGACAGACAGACAGACCTACAGACAGACATACATACAGACAGACAGACAGACATGCAGACAGACAGACCTACAGACAGACATACATACATACAGACAGACAGACATACAGACAGACAGACAGACCTACAGACAGACATACAGACAGACAGACCTACAGACGGACATACATACATACAGACAGACAGACATACAGACAGACAGACAGACCTACAGACAGACATACAGACAGACAGACAGACAGACAGACATACAGACAGACAGACAGACCTACAGACAGACATACATACATACAGACAGACATACAGACAGACAGACAAACAGACATACATACAGACAGACAGACCTACAGACAGACATACAGACAGACATACATACATACAGACAGACAGACATACAGACAGACAGACAGACAAACAGACATACATACAGACAGACAGACAGACATACATACAGACAGGCATACATACAGACAGACAGACATACAGACAGACCTACAGACAGACATACATACATACAGACAGACAGACAGACATACAGACAGACAGACAAACATACAGACAGACAGACAGACATACAGACAGACAGACAAACATACATACATACAGACAGACATACAGACAGACATACATACAGACAGACAGACATACAGACAGACAGACATACAGACAGACATACATACATACAGACAGACAGACATACAGACAAACAGACAGACAAACAGACATACATACAGACAGACAGACCTACAGACAGACATACATACATACAGACAGACAGACAGACATACAGACAGACAGACAGACAGACAAACAGACATACATACAGACAGACAGACCTACAGACAGACATACATACATACAGACAGACAGACATACAGACAGACAGGACATACAGAAAGACAAACAGACAACATGAAGACCAGACACAGCCTACAGACAGACAGACATACATAACATACAGACAGACCTACAGAAATACATAGGAAGATCAACGACACAGACATACAGACAGACAGACAGACAAACAGACATACATACAGACAGACAGACCTACAGACAGACAGACAATCAGACATACATACAGACAGACAGACAGACATACAGACAGACAGGCAGACAAACAGACATACAGACAGACAAACAGACATACATACAGACAGACAGACCTACAGACAGACATACATACATACAGACAGACAGACAGACATACAGACAGACAGACATACAGACAGACAGACAGACAAACAGACATACATACAGACAGACAGACCTACAGACAGACAGACAGACATACAGACAGACAGACAGACATACACACAGACAGACATACAGACAGACAGACAAACAGACATACATACAGACAGACAGACCTACAGACAGACAGACAATCAGACATACATACATACAGACAGACAGACAGACAGACATACATACAGACAGGCAGACCTACAGACAGACATACATACATACAGACAGACAGACAGACATACAGACAGACAGACATACAGACAGACAGACAGACAAACAGACATACATACAGACAGACCTACAGACAGACAGACAGACATACAGACAGACATACATACATACAGACAGACATACAGACATACAGACAGACAGACATACAGACAGACAGACAAACAGACATACATACAGACAGACAGACCTACAGACAGACAGACAATCAGACATACATACATACAGGCAGACATACAGACAAACAGACAAACAGACATACAGACCATCAGACATACATACATACAGACAGACATACAGACAAACAGACAGACAAAAACAGGACAGGACAGAGACAGACATACATGACATTATAATAACAGCAGACAGACAGGACATACAGACAGACCCCAACATACGGACAGACAGGACAGACAAACACACATACATACAGACAAGACCTACAGCGACAGACCGAATACAGAAGACATACATACATACAGACCAGCTGTTCAGCACATACAGACATACAGACAAGACAGGACATACAGACAGGACAGACAAAAAGACATACATACAGACAGACAGTCCGACCACAGACCGACAGACAATCAGACATTACATACATACAGGCAGGACATACAGACAAAACAGTACAAACAGACATAAAGACCATTCAGGGGGACATAATAAATTACAGACAGACATACAGACAAACAGACAGACAGACAGACAAACAGACAAACAGACAGACAGACAGACAGACAGACAGACAAACAGACATACATACAGACAGACCTACAGACAGACAGACAGACATACAGACAGACATACATACATACAGACAGACATACAGACATACAGACAGACAGACATACAGACAGACAGACAAACAGACATACATACAGACAGACAGACCTACAGACAGACAGACAATCAGACATACATACATACAGGCAGACATACAGACAAACAGACAAACAGACATGCAGACCATCAGACATACATACATACATACAGACAGACATACAGACAAACAGACAGACAGACAGACAAACAGACAAACAGACAGACAGACAGACAAACAAACAGACATACATACATACAGACAGACAGACATACAGACAGACAGACAATCAGACATACATACATACATACAGACAGACATACAGACAAACAGACATACAGACAGACATACATACAGACAGACAGACATACAGACAAACAGACATACAGACAGACATACATACAGACAGACAGACAAACAAACAGACATACATACATACAGACAGACAGACATACAGACAGACAGACAATCAGACATACATACATACAGACAGGCATACAGACAAACAGACATACAGACAGACAAACAGACAAACAGACAGACAGACAGACAGACAAACAAACAGACATACATACATACATACAGACAGACAGACATACAGACAGACAGACAAACAGACAGACATACAGACAGACAGACAAACAAACAGACATACATACATACATACAGACAGACAGACATACAGACAGACAGACAATCAGACATACATACATACATACAGACAGACATACAGACAAACAGACATACAGACAGACAAACAGACAAACAGACAGACAGACAGACATACATACATTCATACATGCACATATACATACATACATACATACATACATACATACATACATACATACATACATACATACATGCACATATACATACATACATGCATGCATGCATGCATGCATGCATACATACATACATACATACATACATGCATACACACACTCACACACACATACATACATACATACATACATACATACATACATACATACATACATACACTCACACACACACATATATATATATATATATGTATACACATTGTGGCCTGGTTTCCGGGCAAACGCTAACATTCCAAGATGTCAATGCCATCTCATAAGCCAACTTTTTTGTAAATGGAAGGATTCAAGTTGGGGATACATCAGTTTGATCCATTCTCAGATGACCGCTTGATGGTAGGGATTGGGTGAACAAAGTTGCGCTTAAGCTCCAGTCCCACCTTGTTGGCCAGGGGCCTTCAGTTTCGGACACGAACAGCGTTGCGACGACGTGGGGATCCAAGGGGTGGCTTTTCAGTGGGAAGGCTGCTTGAAATGCCATGAGATTGGCCAATGGAGCCTTGGCACTCAGGCAAGTTCGAAGCTGCTCTCCCTTTTGCCGGGCGCCATGGTGAAACCCAACGGGCGAGGCCAGATAGGCGTCCGTTTGGATCCGCAG